TGTAATGTAATTTGATGCACTATGGCTCTCTGATCACATGTAGCCGTTATCACTGTTATTTCATATCTCTTCGCCAACTGCTCCCATCTTGTCCCTACCATGTCCCCCCCCCCTGATAGCATCTGTCGTTATCTCGGCCAAGGCTTCACCTTTTCCCTCACAAATGTCTGCATCACATGATACACCATTTCCAATATTCACACAGAGTTACTATAGACTATTATAGACGCTCGGTAGAATGGCACGACTCTGGATTGTACGCCAGACCCGCTACGAAGCTATTCTAATGCAGGACTGCAATCAATCCTCTGTCAGAACCGCGCGGGGTCAGTGCCATACGCTCGGTTGATTCCGGCGATACGGCGTCGACCTATCGCATTCTGGAGCCATATCACGCCGGTGTACAGGTTCCGGCGTGTTGTACCACCATCGGAATCCATTAGTTCTCGTAGACTACCTAGGTAGAATGAGGGGTTTGGCGGGGTTATCTCGTGATGACCTCAGTGAAGCCAATATTGTATACTTGCCTGATCATGGCATATCTGAGATTTCAATATTCACTCAAACGTCAAATCGAAGCCCACACTTGATCGGCGGTTATAATTCATCACATTTTAGCTACCCAAGTGCCGTAATCAGCAATCAGAAACGCTAAAAAGGCCATCGCAGAATAATAATCAGCTGCTGTTAACGGCTCATAGAGACAAGGCCACTTCAGCATGCCTGACCGCGTTGTCCGTGTCGCCGTTACTCAGGCTGAGCCTGTCTGGCTAAACCTCCAGGCGACTATAGAAAAGACGTGCAGGCTTATAGCAGAGGCTGCATCGAATAATGCTCAGCTTGTCGCCTTCCCCGAGACTTGGGTTCCAGGCTACCCTTGTTGGATTTGGTTAGTTTTGAGAAGTCATCACGCGTAACTTTTTCAAAGGTTGCGAAGAGCTAAATGGTATCTCGATGATAGGAGTCGGCCGGTTGACTTTGACCTCAACGTTGCTTACATCAAAAATTCTCTCCGCTTGGACTCACCAGAAATGGAATTGGTCCAGGCGTGCGCTCGTGAACATGGGATTGCCGTCTCGCTGGGTTTCTCGGAGAACAGCAACAACTCGCTCTACATTGCCAATGTCCTCATTGGACCTGATGGCGAGATCAAAGTCCATCGACGAAAGATGAAGCCTACCCACATGGAGCGCACTGTGTTCGGAGATGCCTCTGGCCATTGTTTGCAGAGCGTGGCAGAGCTCCCGTTTGGTCGCGTTGGCTCATTGGCATGCTGGGAACACATTCAGCCACTACTGAAATACAACACCATAGCACAGAACGAGGAGATTCACGTTGCTATTTGGCCTCCTTTGAATTCAGAAGTCGGAGATCCCATCCCGTGGTCTATGACCGCAGAAGGTATTCATAGTCTTTCTCTTTCACCTCAGTCGGGCTTTGCTAATCGATACAAGGCTGTAAAACGCTCTCCCGCACCTACGCCATTGAATCCGGAACATTCGTGCTACACTGCACCACGGTAATTACAGAAGACGGAATCAAGTTATTAAGCACAGCTGGAGGGGCGCTCATGTCGAGTCCGGGCGGAGGTCATTCAACCATCTTTGGTCCAGACGGTCGGCGCATAACGGATCTCATCGAGGAGGCAACGGAGGGCATCGTTTACGCAAATTTGAACATGGACGAACTGATAGTGAGCAAGATGTTTGCCGATTGCACGGGACACTATAGCCGCCCTGACCTCCTCTGGTTGGGAGTGGCGCAGGAGATTAAGCCAGTGGTTAGGCCGCAGCGGGTGGAAGGTGCTCAAGAAACGAATCCGGATGAGCAAATCGAGTAGCGAATTAGCTGCCAATGACTATAATGCTTCGTTGACATGTGATGATGACGGCCAACAGGACTACGACCTATTGCTGCTGACGATTCAGACTAGTCTCACATCTATTATTCTTCAAACAAGATAATGCTCTCCCGGTTTACCAAAATTTGACAGTGTCGTCAGAAGAGCCGGATACCAACGGAGTAGAACCTTGCAAGAGAGTCACTAATGAGCATTTAGGTGTACCCTCTAAATGTCTGTCGATATTGCCCAGTAGTTAAATCCTAGAGCTTGATGGTGCTACCCTTGAAGCCAACACAAAGATCTTCCTCGACCTGTCGGAGAATCTCACTGAAAAGAAGATGCCGCAACGGCTTCTAAGTGTTTGTGGCACTGGTACTCATATTCAGTTACATCCAACATATCTATGGCTTTATCCACTGATATGATGCGATAAACTTTGACTCTGAGAGAGGGCAGCGGTACACACGGGCATCAGTATGCCACTCAAGAGTCAGTTAACAAAAGGCTGCTAAATCCCATAGTTTCCATATTAGATTCTACATGATAACCCGCCGAAGCAAGAACAGGCACATTTACAGCATATTGAGAGATTACAGAGGGAATATGCTGAATGAGGTCAGCATACCATGACTTTGCATGGATTTATTTTCATGCGGTATCAATAGAATCTGTATATGGCTAATTAATATGTCTTGTTTGTAATTACCGGACATGCCGGGCAACGAATTGTTACAGCTTGCCTTACACAATGTCCACGCCACTGATCCCGCGAATGAACCCAATACTATTTTGGGAGCAAACTGACGAAATAACCGATGCAAAAAGATGGCCGGGGATGATGAATCGTGTATTTGCATGTTGAATACTAGTAGGTACTACTAAGGTAGAAAGCTTATATCATGATGCTACTAACATGTACATATCAGTGCGGGCAAACATTTGGATTCAACAGTGCCCTTCGGAATTTGCCGCGATTTAAAATGCAAATGACCAACACCAAAAGTCATTGAAGCTTTGAAAATCTGAGTAAATCGGTCGAATGTCTTGAGCCTCTTCAACCGACCGTCGGCGGGACCTGTAAACCCGATGAAAATTGATGTCGTCTAGACTCGGGACGTGGAAAAGAAATACGGCCCACGAGATAACGAGCTTAATTGAAAAGCCAGGCAAGGCCCAAAAAACAGGACGAATCACTGAGCTCGAGATCAGATCTAAGTGTGGCGTGTGACTCTGGAGAGTTGAAGCAGAGAGTCCATCGCCTATACTTGTAAGCGTCATTAGAGCCGCTACGGCTGAATAGTCCTCCCGAAGCATTTCTATTTCTGTATCTCGGGCTGTTGTACCTCCGGCAGCACGTGTGACAAGTTGACGCCACAAGAGCCGGTCTTATGGCAGCTCACCTAATCGGGACGGATCAAACGGCTTGAATGGCTTGAATAGCTTGTATTAAAGACTCGGCTGCTCTACCATGATCAATAACAAGAGATGCTGGACACGAGCTTCATCAAGTTGTCCATATACGAATCCAATAATAAAAAAGAAACAAGAAATTATGACGCGACACTTACGTGCTATATTGTCGGCGCTTCTCTTGATACTACTTGGTAAGTGTCGGACGAACGAGTGTCCCATCACGAATTAATGGTTGACAACTGTCCAGCGTCAAACCTGGTCCTGGCGCAAGAAATTCACAATCAAGTTGAAGAAAGAGATGTTCACTCATTCGAAAAGAGAGAAACCTACAGAGTCTGGAATCGAGAACGAAATGGACATGCGTGCATCATGTCCATCGTCTTCATCGTCCTTTATCCTTTGGGAGCAATCTCCGTCCACCTCCCCATCGACCAGATCCCTTATCTAAGAAACACCTATCTCCGAAACAAAATCATGGCTATGCACGCACCCATCCAGATCATAGCATTCCTCATGATGATTGGCGGCATGGCTCTCGGCATCAGGGTCGCCAAATTCGTAGGATATCTCCATAATCCTGTACACGCGCATTGCATCATAGGCTTCATCGTCGTCTGCACACTCATACTCTTTCAGCCAATCCTGGGTATCTTGCAGCATCGATATTTCAAGAGAACCGGTCGCAAGAGCATATTTGCTTACGTGCACCGCTGGATAGGACGAGTCGCCATCGTTACGGGCATAATTAACTCTGGATTGGGCTTCCAGCTGGCCAAAAAGAATGTGATTATTCACACCCACTCTTATGTCAGAAACTATGTGATTGCAGGCATATTGTTACCCATCTGGGTGGGCTTGATTATCTGGGACGAGTTGAGATCACGCAAATCGGCAGCGGTCCCCGATGGAGGTGAAAAGGGAGCAACTCAGGAACAGGAACAAAAGTAGATAGTAAGGGGCAGCATTTTTGAGGAAAGCCATGTTTGTGAATACGGCTGGTACTAGAATGCATTTATTGTAATGTTTAATAGCTAATATTGTAAATGAGTAGAACCTTGACTGCTACGTAGCTTTTGGCTCTGTTCTTCCCATGCTTCTGTGATATGTATAATTGGATTGGTTCATTTTGCCATGTAACCTATATGTATTACATATTTCCAATGCTATGTTTCTAAGTCTGCGTGCGGTCTTTTCTTACTTAATCAGGAAAATGCCGATTAATTCTGTATCCTTAGACGTATCGGCTTAGAACAGCAGCGAGTCCTTGCCCGACGAGTCGTAGAACCCTGGATGTAAAGTCTGGGCTAAAACTCAAGAACAGTTTCTGGTTATAATTCGTCTCCACAATACATCTAGAAGATTGTCTAGTGTTACTTAATCCTGGGGTTAATGGAAGAAAGGTGATGCAGTCATCGATAGGTACCACCCACCAACTCTCTTACGTCCCTCTGTTTTGTTCCTGTTTGTGTAGACTTATGATCCATCGTCTACCATTTAATGATGGCTTTGCACTGGTCTACCCACTTCGGATCGTCGCTCTGAAACACTTCGCGAACAAAATCTGTCGGTTTCGACATCAGGCTTCGCAACCGCTCTAGTCGTGCATCTAAGGATTCTATACTGGCCATCCTCACGTCCGCAGACTTGGACCTACCCCATGCATGGTCCTTGGGACAATTCAGCCAACCTAGTGCGGCAACCATGGGGTTCGTTATCATATATTGGCCGGCGTTCAGTTAGCACATCACTTTTGGAGCCCTAAAAGAGGGACGACACACTTACTAGTTGCTTCACGCACACGCTGAGTACTGTACATGGTCTCTTCTTCTATTTTCAGCTCCTCTCCCTTTGCCTTTGTCCAAACGAATTCTTTGGGCATCAAGTACCAAAGCATTCGCAATGCCAGGAGGGCTACGCGTGTTCCTCCTCGCTTGTGCTTCACAGAGCTGCTAGCTATTGCGAACCTGGCGACTTCATCTTTAGCATCTCTTTTAGGCACGGTATAAATAGTCATGTCCAACGTCATGCCGACGGTAAGAGCTAACATGAGGAGAAGCTCGACTTCAGGCTCAGATTGGAATTCCTCCAACAGACTGAGTGCTTTGTTGTAGTGATTTATGAGCCCAGGTTTAGGTGGCCCCCAAACGTTTGAGTTTGCGTTTGAGTTCTCCTGCAACCGTTTGAAACCTTCAACGAGGCCAGCAGGGAGGCCGTTCTCAAGAGGGAAGTTGCATCCAAAGTCGATGTGATATCCTCTGTCCTCGGGGCTCGTGATTTTGTGAGTATGAGCGAGGCTAGACATGGCAATTATTCGCTCTTGGCTCTCTTCGTTGGATACAATCCTGTGAGTGATCATGGCCGTGAGATAACTTTTGGAAACGCCCAGAACCCAATCAATTTGATTCTCTTTGAGCGCTGATCCGATATACTTTCGCCATTGCTCTTTGTGTGCTTCTGATACCTCTGTGCTTGCTGTCATCCGGAAGACGGGGCACAGAACGTTCAGCCACTTCATGTCGTGGGATACGAGAGACCTGTCATAATTATACCCTAAGGCTCTAATGATCCTATCGGCATACTTATCTTGATTCAGCTCGTCTCTTATGATGGTCTCTCTCTTTTGGACCAGAGCCTTGTCCATCGCATCGTTGATGGCTTCAATCAGATCATCAAATTTCCTGTGAGCACGCAGTTAATGAGCATCGATACATGTATACTCTTCGGAATCATAGGCTGAGCAGTTGGCCTTACTTCAAGCTAAACAGACCTGATGAAATCTGGCTTGAAGTTTCCCATTTTTTGAGGCGCAGATGCCCATCGTCTAGCTTCTTCTGCTGGCTAGTCGAGAGCACGGTGGTACGTGCGTGCTTTCTGAAAAGCTTCAGGATTTTTTTTGCTGAAAAATTTGCGCATCTCGGGGACAAAGATGGAACGCATAACCTCCTCCACGAACCTCGCAGGCGATTTTGTCTTCCGAAAGATGAGCTGGGCGATGGCAAAGCTGCCGCCGTAGTTGTAGGGATTCTTGAACATCTCTAGTGGACTGGGTTCAGCGATTTCTCGTTGAGAGAGCTCCTCCGCGCGCGAGTTGAGATATGCCGTGGCTTTCGGTTTGGTATACTGGAGTTGATCTAGATCTGGGCCACTGTCGTGATGCCTTGTCTCTGGTTCAATTCCCGTGTGCATCCCATTCTCATTCACGGTGATTGTGGATGGCTGCGTCATCGCAACATTTGATGTTCGCTGGCGCGTCTTTGCCGGCCTGGCTTCATCGTGAGCAGAGTGACAGTCTGTAGACGGCCGTTTCATGATGGTAACGATTGGCAACAGTTTGAACGTTTTGCTCTTTGGGGGTGTTTGGCATTTGCACTATTCGATGGAAGAGTGAAATCATCCCACAGACGGTGAATGTGACTATTGCAGTGGGAAGTGGGTGGAGTGCATGCGAGCTGCAATGCAAGGGCCTGCCCTGGATCCGTGAACCTGGATGCCATGCAGTGTTACATGTATCTCCAAATCGCTCTTTTAGGACGCCTTACACGTCTGTGTCCTACTCGGAGATGGTTTATACAACCGGATACCTTATGGTATAGTAGGTATTTATGTACCGCGGTTCATAATCTCAGCAATCCAATGTGGCGGTATGCTTTATAAGAATGACTCCGCGATGCGCCAAAGTCTCGTATAAGGTACCGATAGTCCCGAGATACACGTTCCATGTTTATAAATTCAATAGTACCAACAACAACGGGCGAATGGCCCTTTGTGCCAGATACCTGAACGAGAGCCAAAGTACTAAGGTACGGTGTAATGCTGCCACGTTTACAACGCTTCATCTAGCTTCATGCTGTTAATCTCTTCATCGGCCTCGAGTGTACGAAAGATTCCAAACGCTCCTAATAATACAGCTTTTATACCTAAAAATTTTCGCAAGAAATAAAATCACCTGCATGCATGCCGCATAATGGCGAGGTGTATCAGATAGTACGAGTGACTGAGACAAAATCGCGCAATCTTGGTACATATCCAAATATAAAGTTCAACATCCCCCTCTGCAATCGCCTCAGACCCATTTCTGAGCTCGATAGTATCAGCCTCATTGCGTCTCTTCGCGGGCCTTTACTTTGTCGCCGTTGCCACATTGATGATATTTCGTATCACCGTAGTGCCGTCGTCGAGGGTCTTGAAACCTTCCGTCTTTCTCATTTCACGCCTCACAATCTCCAACGCCTCGTCCCACCTCTCCTCGTCTTCTCGGCTCCAGCCAGTGCTCGGCATGCCCCTCATGCTCCAGATCAACTCGGTGTGGCGATCAAAATTTCCGATATTCACAAACATCTCGCGCTGCTCGACTTTTATGGACTCCTTTCTGAACCCACCAGCCTCCACAACATTCGCTATAACAGATGGATCTGTCCATTCTGCAAATGACGTCCAGGCCGGCAGTATGGCTCCTGTGCGGGTTACCCGAGAAGCCTCGCGGATAGGCTCTAGGACAGGTACATAGGCGAAGCAGTTGAGTATGAGCGTCCCTCCGGGCTTGAGCGTGCGATACATCTCCTTGGTAGCGTCGAGACCACCGTTGCGAGGCCCCACGAAGATCAGCGCATTGCCGATGGAGTGAGTGAAAGTTTCATCTGGGAACTTGAGACTGTCGGAGTCCATGACGAGACCCTGAGCGGGCCAGCCTTGAGTTTCTGCTCGGTCACAATAGACTTCCACCGCTCCACCTGAGATATCCGTCCCCGTGATTTTATAAGTCGCAGCGACTTCTGGAGCCGCAGCGGCCATGATGACGGCCGTGGCAGAACCGTGTCCGCAGCCGTTGTCGTGAATCACGGCACCAGCCGGAATGGCCGGGATCTGCTCTAGAGATACGGCGGCTAGCCTTTCTGCGCCATCTTTCGCGAGCTCCTTGTAGTTTTCCGGTGTGGGCGGTATCATTTGCTTCGGCCAGAAGGCCATGCTGGCCCTTGAGCTAGTCATCATGTGTATACTCGTACAGGAAGAGATTTGGATGGGCGACGATTTCTGGGTCTGGTTGCAAGGGATGTAAATCTTGGAGGAACGGCTCAGAAGACTGTAAATATTCCTTCACCCCATGCTCAGCGGCCACGATATAACCGAAACGCGTAAGGAGAGCCACCCTGTTGGCTGGAGCAGAGGCAGGGATTCATTCCCCCGCTCTTGTGTGTGAGCGCTCCTCTTCATAATGCGTGTACAAATGCTCCGCGGCTGAATCTTTGATGAGAGATGAGGACTTGATGCTGCGCAGGATGGGCAAAATTAACACGCAAGGTTTCGCTATGGCTTATATGTACTTATGGGAGGGATAATAGTAGAGAGTAGAGGAAATACATGAGATTGGACGAAAAACATGGAGTCTATCGTTGAAACTGTATCCAATCGGTTTAGCTGTAAGCCTCAATGCCATTATGCTCAGACTCAGTGTGGAGCCGGCCAGCGGCTTCAATTTTTAGTTTTCTTACCAAAGGCAGCTCAATTAAACCAACGGCAATGAGATCTCATTGAAACAGCGCTTGTGCCTTGCTCCCTGTGCTAGTGCTTGTCTAGCAAAGGTTCTAGATGACACTCAATCTCAGCATTAAAATCGCTCAATAGCGTCCGATAGGCCGAGTTTTTACATAATACACGACGCCAAGATAGACGCCGCGACAGGGTTTATTACGCGGAAGCGTCGTCGTACATCTCAGCCACACGGGCCTGAGAGAAACCGTTATGGAACTCGCAGATGGGCCCCATGTTCAGAACCATTGATCCTGGCTGTGCAATACAGGACCCCTATTTTGCTTGCTTCGACGCTCTCAACTTGGAAGTTTTGGATGACCTTTTACAGAGCCCGGAGTCCGGCGTTCTATGAACCCCTATGGAATACTAGTAGAGGCCTCCTGAGTCTCGAATACGTGTATGTAGTTTTCTCCATCGGGCTTCCAGAATATTGGACCCTCCAACATTGTGTCCGCGAGCACGGAGCGCAATGACACTCATGGGGGCAGTGAAACCTACACTAATCTTTTAGTGGCTATATTCTCGCGTACCTGGGCAGCCACCATTGGCTAGACATGTCGTTCTCTCTTGCAGTGCTTGTTGTTTAAACGAGATCGACAGGGAACTGGAAGAATGGGATACCAAGATCTATTGTCACCCCCTTCTGGAAGGCCTAGAGCTGGGCGTTGTAGGGGTCTCGACTCGAGCACGTTAGTTGGTTGGGTGCACCTGCATGATGTTTGCGCGCCTACATGCTGATCTAGGTAAAGAGGCTGACGATAGTCCCTTGGCTTTTCATGGTTTGTGGCCATTCATCTGCAAGCATCAAGGGGATAGGTACTACTCGTATACGGGATTCGCAAGAATAAACTCGAGTCCCATCAAAAGTACCTATCAGGTAGAGCTGTATCCTCGGAATACTACCTCCTACCAGGTACCTACAGTACCTACATGCAGGTAAGGTACCTAGGCAGGTAGCTCGTATGGCCACTACATGGAGGTACTCGTGTGTATCAACGTTCAGCAGAGTTGGACTGCATGCCCCGTTGCGCATCGAATCTCGCGCAGGCAAATCTCCATGGTTTGTTGTGGCGCCAGCTTCTCCTTCTCCTTTCCTCCTTTCTTCGTGGCCAAAGCACATCCGCCCCATAGTTGTAACCGACGCGCGTCCGAGCTGATGAAACGGCCAACATGGTTTCCGCACGCCGTGTTTTGCGTACCAAAGGTAGAGGAAACTTTGTCTGTAGTATTTCCTTTGTTCCATTTGGGGGCTGAAGTATCGTATGTGGAATAGGAGATCTGGGTAAGTACTAATGGGCGCATGTTGGCCTGTTCTTACCAGCCAAGCTCGCTCCTCCTCTCTTTGGTTCAGCACTTCAAACATTGTCCACTTCTATTCGAGCCTTTGACACATTCCCCAGATCCCTCATTGCTGTTGCTATTGACGATACGCCGTTAATATCAGTGACAGAGGTGTTCTCCGAGCCACGAGCCGACCCGTCCTTCCAGCATATCGACATAGCGAATTCAGTCCCCGCCATTACCGTCGCTTGGTTTCTTTTTTCTCTGCTGTCATGGATCATAATCAGATCCTCTCCCAGCGGGAGGTCGAAGGCATGATTGCCGAAGGCGATAGTATTGTCATTTTCCAAGACTATGTCCTGCGCCTCAACAAATGGCTGGACAAGCATCCTGGAGGCTCTCTGGTTATTCAGCATATGGTGGGCCGAGACGCGACCGACGAGATTACAGCGTAAATATTTTCCTTCATACTTGTCCTCTTCATCTTCCTATTTTGGTGCCATCTTCCGTCGGGCCTCTTCTCGTATGCCTCTACGACAATCCCCTGCCAGTCGCTGCATGCAATGTGCATCGAAAGCGAAATTCCCCAAAGTAGGATCGAGACACCGGCTCTGTTGTGCTTTAAGCTTAAACGTGCATATACAACGCACCAATGCGCGCGGGACGGCACGCGGGTTGCCATGCTGGATCGAGATCTCTTTTGCAGAGGCCCCATTTCATCTATTTGGCACCAGACCAAACAAACCCGCCTACGATAGTGTGCTAACAATTTCTTTCTCTTTTGCTGCAGATATCACTCGGCGGCTACGCTTCGAACGATGGCGGGCTACCGGATCGGCCGGAAGCCAATGGGGCCCTGGATCAGTAAGACTCCTCCGATCAGGGGAGGCATCTTCCGCAAATCGAGCCTCCACACCCAGCCGGAGATTCCGGACATGTCCATCTCAGATCCCGAGAGCAACTCAGACACGGACGATTATTCCGATGAACCGAGCTTGTCCAACACGCCCATATCACTCTCTCAGTGCAGCAGCCCCAGCTTGTCCAGCATCGACGGTCCAGGTGCTCGTATTCCTGCTCTTAGCCTTGGTCTTGGCCAGAAGAGCCTTCGCAGACGAATTGCTTCATCATCAGCATCATCTATTGGCGCTGCGTCTCCACCAACTAATTGTCCTGTCAAGTATACAGATTGGGCCGTCCAGCAGGGGGTTGAAAAAGGCCTGCGTGACTATCCGTCTTTGGATCCAAAGGTTCAACAGGGCGTCGTCAACAGATACCGGGCTTTACACCAACAGATACGCGATGAAGGGCTCTATAGCTGCCGATATGTGGAGTATGGCAAGGAGATGCTTCGATACACGACTTTGTTTGCCTGCTTCCTTTTTGCCTTGCACCATGGATGGTATATGACCTCGGCCGTCTTTCTTGGGTTGTTCTGGGTGAGTGCCTCTCATATTTGCCTCGTGTAACACATCATCGTGCTGACCTGTTTTTATCGATGCTTAGCATCAAATCATGTTCACGGCTCATGATGCTGGCCATCTAGCCATTACTCAGATATTTGTCATCGACACGCTCATCGGCATGTTCATCGCTGATTTTTGCTGTGGTCTCTCCATTGGCTGGTGGAAGAGCAGCCATAACGTCCACCATCTGATAACAAATCAACCAGTGAGTTACTACTGCCGTCATACTGAGGACTTAAAAGACGACCAGCCGTTAACCATATTGTTTTAGGAGCATGATCCTGATATTCAGAACGTCCCCCTCTTCGCCACATGCCCTTCCTTCTTCAGATCACTCCGTTCCACCTACTATAATAACTTCGTCTTTATCTGGGACGCCGTGGCAGATGCCCTCGTTCCGTACCAGAAGTACACATACTACCCGATCATGGGCGTTGCTCGCTTCAACCTCTATCTTCTGTCTTGGCTGCACCTCTTGTCGGGCAAATCTTCGTCGTTGGGTTCTACCAAGGCATGGTGGATTCGTCCCACGGAAATCACCTTTTGCGCTGCTTACTGGTTCCTCTTTGGCTACTGCTTGGTTTGGCGCTCATTACCGACATGGACAATTCGTGTGGCCTTTGTGCTCGTGTCACATATTGTCACTATGCCATTGCACGTCCAGATTACTCTCTCGCACTGGGGCATGTCGACGTCCGACTTGGGTGAGACCGAATCTTTTGCCCAGCGGCAATTACGAACCACCATGGATGTGGATTGTCCTGCTTGGCTTGACTTTATCCACGGTGGACTCCAGTTCCAAGCCGTTCACCATTTATTTCCAAGGATGCCACGACACAATCTCCGCCGAGCGCAGACCCTAGTCAAGGAATTTTGTGCAGATACGGGCATTCCTTATTCCATTGTGGGCTTTGTTGATGGCAATCGCACGGTCCTTGGCCGGCTAGACGAAGTGAGCGAGCAGCTCAATATGATGTTGAGCTGCCAAAAGTACATGGCTGAGACGGGAGAGAGCGGATTGCACTGAACGGCTCATTTGCTTGTTTCTTGCAGTAGATGCAGAAACTCGTGTCTTTAATATCTCGTACCATAGAGGGAAAATGCGTATCATGGAGGGAAAATGAAAGAAAGGCGTTAAATGGATTTGTATTGTACTAGAAATGGCTTGGGAGGGGTATATGTGGCCTCGTTCTCGGCGTAGAGGACATAATTGATAGAGTCTGATGTTATTCCTTGCAATAATATGTGTCCCAAGAAAACCAGTCCATTGTGTTATCAAATGACCTCTTGCGCTTGCGTGGTGAAGGACCATCAGAATCCAAGCAGCCTAGTATGTTCTCGATGTCAATATTGTCAAAGCCTGACTGCTCATTTAGGTCTTGGTCTCTGATGTAAGCCATAAAAGCGTTGGTATATAACTCGAAATCAGCTTCGCTGGAAGAAGTATCCATTCCACAAACAGTGGATTCTTCTGAGGCTGTTGCTGGCATCATGGACTCTTCTGAACTGGTCCCTGTCGCTGTAGACTGTTGATCTTGTGCGTCCTCGGCGGTATGTTCACCGGATATGGCAAAATCTGCCAAATTACAGAAGACTAGAGCCGTTTTTTCCAGTTTGGAAGAAACTGCGGGAAGGGAACCGAATTGTTTCATGCTCTTGAAATATGTTGCTGTCTTTTGGAGCAGCTCGAGGTCTTGCGGTGTACTTGGTTCCGATGGATGGTCCATGATATGGCCAAACAGTGTAAAGAATGGCGTAAAGGGATAGTATAATAGTTGCCTTCATTTCGAGACTGTTAGTGCGAGGGCTTATTGAGAGTAATACCATGGGACTTGCCAGACGAGTCCATTGTACACATGGATCGAGTTTGAGACTAGGTCTGGGAGAAGCATGATGGCATCCCGAGCGGCTTGAACGCGACGTTCTCTGCTGCTGGGGTCCTTGCGTAATACTAGGACCAGGATGTGCAGATACTGAAATCTCATTGCGCGTACACCAATCGTCATCTCTTGGATCTGATGAGCTGTTGAGGTAGCGGATTCTTCATTCAAAACCTTCAACAAGAGCTAATAGAGTGTCAATAGAGATCGTTTTTTGCTTGAGAGATGAACTTTACTTCATTTGTATATGAATCCCATGACCGTAGTTTGGCGGCCAAAGCTTGATAGTCTGCGATATTTCCAGGACTTGCAAGAAGACTGAGCGCCGCTCCGGTTAACTTGGCCAATTTCATTCCTTGGATGAAAAAATGGGCGCCAAAGGTCGAGGTAGAAGAGCCGTTCTCTGTAACGATGGGTTGACTCCTGTGCGGATGGTAGCCTAGGAGGTATTGGAAGTCGGGCAGCGGAACATTCTCGTATATGGTAGTCGGGAGTAGCATTGGGCGCCCGAAAGCCAACGAACAAGATTTGTCTATTGAGAACAAGGACCAGAATAAAGCTAATTGGCGTTGTTGGTATTTGTAACTGCCTCTTCCTACCACGTGCAAGCCAAGGGCTTGAGCTTGGCGGCAAGCATGGCCTACAAGCATCCAAGAGAGATTGGGAGAGGCGTATTGCTCGCCGTGGCACCCTAATAACAGGAGTGCCTGGACGTTTATCTCGCTGGGCTCTAAGAATATTCTACAGTCATTTAGTGCCATTTCTGTGTTCTTCTGGAGGCTCTCAACAACATCTGATTGAGAGCTGTCGTTTTGAAGAAGGGTGAGAAGAATAAAGTTGACGTAGACAATCCAAGCGCGTTGAGGCACTGTAGCTGGATCGAATATGACGTTCAAGAGAAGGTCATCCAGTGGAGTGATGAATAAGATATCAGCGAGTTGTGCACTTTGAAGGAAATCTGATTGCGGTTAGCTGACCATGCAGAATTCATACAAACGATCGATCAACGTACAGCTTATCAAGTTATACCCAGCTGCTCGGGAGGGAACATAGTATCCATTGAGAGACTCAAAAGCTGCTGCATCTGTGCGTGGCTGTTGGAGGCTAACTGTAGTCAGAGATTTGGATAGGTCCTGCAATGCGGAGGATGCTGCCTGGTGTTCTGCAAGTCGCCCTTGTCGCGACATATTCTTGATAACATCTAAGTGTCGCGAAGCTTCGCTCAAGTATGAGAATGAATGCGAATGGTCTAGAGTGAGCTCAGGAGCATCTTCTTCTCCAATTGGCGTTCGATATGATGTCGCTGCTTCTACATTTGACCTTGTTGTGCTTGAAGGAGCTTCAGAGACTCCACGATTTCCAGCAGAACTTATGAGAGACGTATTGATCACGTCAGAGAGCGTATCCAGGGCTTTCTCAACACGCGAAAGACGCTGGTCTACGTTGCTGGTGTTTTGAGGAAGGATAGTTGCTGCTTTTTTGGCTGGTTCAGCTCTGATATTTGAAGTTAGACATCTATCAGCGCGAAGATGATTGAGGGTCATACGTGGTGACAGTCTCATTAGACTTGGAGACAGGGCCTAATCTGTGGTAGACGCATTCGCCTGGCCATGGACGACATGCTGCACACTTGGGAAACTCTCTCGAACATCTTTTTTTTTTAGGTTAATAAAAAGAGTTCTGAGTTTAATAGCCTTGCAAACTCACTTGATCTTCTTTTGCCGGCAATGGGTGCACTGCATGTGTTTAGATGGTGTCAGCCATACAGAACCACCGGCGGCACATGGTGGGAACTGCGACGTACCGCAAACCGTGCTAACCCTACATCTTTGGAAGGCGGCATATTCGAGTTCATAGTGCGATAGGATGGGTAATGTCGAGCCAGGGCTGTGACGATGTTCAAGTTACTTCTCTTCCACTTGGTGAGATCATGGAGAGGCAACCTGTGTGGAAGCTCAAGTATTAAGCTCCGGCTTCACGGGCGGCCATTGGTTGCGACCGGAGTTTCAAATCTAGCTTTGCGTAAGTCCGGCGTCATCCAATCAGAGGCTAACGGCATATATTCCTCCCTTGAAATACAATCGTCTGCCTTCATTTAGAACGATGGTGACCTTATTACTTGAAAAATATGAGCTTAGCTCCTAAAACGCGATACATATTTCTTAAAATGACAAAAGCAATGCAATAATATGAATGAATCAGATTCCTATCAACCATCATGAAGCCAAATGATGTTACTAGCAGCGCGGCGCTAAAGTATTTACGAAGAGAGGTTAGCCATGAGGACAAGGGAAATGTATGGCAATGCCGAACAATTTAAGTGGTTGCTCCTACTGGCCTATGCGGCTGAATGGTTATACTTATGTCAAGGTTTGTATAATCTCTACTCCGTAAATGACATCAAACTATGTCAAAAGCAATTACGTCTCGTATCCGTGGCTCTGAGCCATCAACGACTTGGTATCACTAGGTTGGCAAGTTGGAAAGCAGCCAGGGTATTCGCTCCTACATCTCTCATTCGGGGGGTTAATAGATACAAATCAGACACACATCTTGATCAAGGCTGGAAATGAAAAGATAATCCTTGTAATATTCCACCATCCTTGGTCCGTTACCACCAATGAGCACCAAACTCACCGGGAAGCCGATCGAGTAGTAAATGTCCGACAGGCAGCCCCGCGATTGGGCAAAGCTGCCATTCACCATCTTTAGAAGTAATACAATCGCATCATGGGTCCGGAGATGAGAATTATAGAATTGAATATAGATTTTCTTTATTTTTTCAAATTGTTTTCGTCTTTACGCAATCTTTTTCCACATTATTTTTCTTTACCATAGCGGTAGCAAAGGCGATTTCTTTACCACTCTGGTTCTTTCTGATCCATGCGGGAGCTTTTGACGTTTGAGAGTGTGCCAAACAAATTATCCGGTCGATGAGTGGGCAAACAATAATCGCAAAACCACCTAGTAAACCACCCAAAGATGACGCGTTCTCAGGAACCCGCTGCTGTTGAGCTTGGGGAAGACCAACACGCTGAAAAATCTGACAATGATGAAGCGTTGCGAACGAGCGAGAAACAATCCTTGAGTTTTATCCAAATATACAAGGTTAGCGGACAATAAAAGGACTGTTCTGCCGACTCTAGCTAAATAATGAACAGAAAATAATGAACATGGTGACTCTTCGCGAGAAGCTGATGTATACGGTGGGCATTCTCGCCGCTATGGGATCCGGAACGGTACTGCCTTTGATGACTCTAATTTTCGGCAATTTTGTGTCGGTATTCACCGATTTTGCTTTGGGACGAATCCCCAGCGAGAGTTTCCGAGGCAAAGTAAACCACTATACGTATGTAATGCTACTGGGCCTTGATGAATGATATGGCAGCTAACTAAACTATAGACTATACTTCATTTACATGTTCATCGCCAAGGCAGCATGCACATATATATATATGTTTCTGTTCACAGTCGTCGCTGCCAGCGTCAATTCGGCTGTTCGGCAGAAATATGTAAATGTTGTACTCCACCAGCGAATTGCCTATCATGAAACTGTTCTCACATTGGGAGCCGTCTCCCTCGCCCTCTCCACTCATTCTAATACCATTCGTTCTGGTCTGGCTGAGAAGTTTGGCTTGTCACTCAAAAGTAGCTCTACTGTCGTTGTAGCTTTCGTTGTGGCACTTCATTCTCAGTGGAAATTGGCTTTAGTCACGGCTACGATAATTCCAGCTGCGGTTGTGGCGGTCGGTATCACGAGTGTGTTTGACGAGGAGAAAGAAGCGAGCCTCAACGCCATCAATGCAGAGGCCGCAACGCTTGCGGATGAAGTGATAAGTTCCATGAGGACCGTCAGAGCGCTCGGAGCTGAAAAGGCTCTAGGCGGCAAATACGAGGGCATGCTGAAGCGTGCCATTGCAATTGGACTCGCTCGATCTCTGATCAAGGGAATCCAAGCTGGGGTGTACATGTTCATCCTTTATGGAGGATACGCCCTCGCCTTTTGGTATGGATTGAAACTATATGTCGATGGCGAAGCGGCAACGGCTGGTACAGTGATCACCACTCTTTTCTCTATCATGATTGGTGTAAATGCTTTTTCCGAGCTCGCTGGCTATCTTGGACCGTTTTTGCGAATAAAATCTGCTGGAGCCGAGATTTTTGAAGTCATTGATTCGGCCCCAACAGCGCGAGTGAGCTCAGGGCAGGATGAAAGCTCCAATTATGCGATGGGCCATTTCCAGCAAGACATTACTTTTGACAGCATATCATTCAATTACCCAACTCGGAAAAATGTTACGGTTCTAAAAGGGTTTTCTCTCAACATTCCTGCTGGTAAAACTACTGCCTTGGTCGGGCCCAGTGGTTCCGGTAAGTCAACCGTTGTCGGGCTCCTTTTGAGATGGTACGATGCTGCGAATGGGCAGATCAAGATAGGTGAATCTGGATTACATGAAATCCCACTTCAGACGCTGAGAGCGAATATTGGACTTGTGCAACAAGTAGGATTATTTGTGTCTTCCCGAAGTGTAGCTGTATTTCTAACAAGATGATAGGAGCCTTATCTATTCACTGGTACCGTATACGAAAATATCGAGTATGGATTGTCAGGAAGCCCATTGGGGCAGCTACCAGTCGAAGACAAGAAGCGTCTGATCATAGAGGCTTGCAAGACTTCCAACGCTCATGAGTTTGTCACCAGACTCCCAGAGGTATGATATGAACCTACACTGTTACCATTGTGTTGACTCACGCAATGCAGGGATATGATACACCAATTGGGAACCGAGGCACGATGCTTTCTGGTGGTCAGAAACAGCGACTGGCTATCGCTCGAGCAATTGTCAAAAACCCACCCATTCTTATCCTGGATGAAGCTACGAGTGCCCTTGATGTGAATTCAGAGGCAATCGTCCAACGGGCGCTCGATAATGCTCGTGAAAATAGGACAACTATATCAATTGCCCATCGCTTGACCACAATCAAAGCTGCAGACCAGATTGTGGTGATGAAAAAGGGCGAAGTTGCAGAGGTTGGTACGCATATGAGCTTATTGGACAAGGAACATAGTATTTATAAACGGCTATGGGAGGTGCAAATGTTATCGCAAAGCCGGCACTCCATAGAAAGAGAGGATGAAGAACTAGAAACAGTGGCCAGCGACTCTGTCCTACAAAAGGAACTGACACAGGTGGAAGATGCATCTCGTACAATGTCGGAGCAGACGAGCCAAAAGCTTAAGAGCAGAGGAGTATTCACTCTCGTTAGCAAAATCCTTTCTTCTCAAAAGAAGCACTGGTGGGTGTTCTTCATTATTTGCGCATCTGCAACCGTTGGAGGTAAGTTGTACGATCAATACTCGTCTCTTGAACCATTGACTGACCTTGAAAGGTGCTCTATTTCCTGTTCAAGCGTTTCTTTACGCCAGAGTGGTGACATCATTCCAATTGACTGGTACTGCCCTCGTATCTCACGGTAATTTCTGGAGTCTCATGTGGTTTATACTGGCTATCGCAGTCGGAATCGGGTACTTGGGTGTAGGATGGGCGGGAGGAGCACTGGGAGAGGTAAGAGACATGCAACATTGGTAGGAAATTCGCCTTATGCTAACTCTCGTATAGCTTGTTGCCCAGGCATATCGATATGAGTACTTGCGCTCCATGATGTCTCAATCTATGGCATTTTTTGATCTTGAAGAGAATTCTGTCGGCAGCTTGCTATCCAGACTTTCGTCAGACCCCGACGCGGTCAACGCACTTGCTGGAAGTAATCTTGCAGTCATTGTAACTGTCGGAGTCGCATTAGTTAGCTGCGTGGTGCTTGCTTTAGCCACAGGCTGGAAACTTGGTCTCGTGGTTCTCTTTGGCGGCTTCCCATTTATCTTTGGAGCTGGCGTTGTTCACGAAAGAATGCAAAATTCGTTTGAGGAGAAGTCCGGAGCCATGTTGGCAGATAGTGTTGGCTTTGCCAGCGAAGCTATTCAGGCCATCCGCACCGTGTCGGCGCTGAACACGGAACCGTTGATCGAAAAGAAGTTTGGAAAGTTGCTGGACGAGTATAGCCGCAATGCCTGGCAATATGCGGTGCGGAGTATGACTTGGTTTGCTTTGAGCGACAGCATTGACTTGTTGTGTATGGCTCTAGCCTTCTGGTGAGTTGCCGTGATCTCATATCCTGTTACGTTCACTATTAACAGACCTTACAGGTACGGAGGCCGGTTATTATCATTCCAGGAATATACAACAACACAGTTTTTTATCGTGTTCATAGCCATCGTATTTGGAGCTCAAACAACAGGACAATTCTTTGCCCATAGTTCAGGTATAGTGAAACAGTCTCGAGAACTCGCAATCGGAATGCTAATGTATGGCCATATAGACATATCCCAAGGTATATCGTCGACCCGCGCGATTCACGAATTGGAAGATTCCGTGCCGGATGTGTCCAGTTTGAATCAGACGGCGCCAGACATTTCAGTTCTTAGCCAAGAAACTCCGCTTATGGAGTTTCGCGATATAGACTTTTCATACCCCTCCAGGTCATCTCAACGGGTGCTGAAGCACTTCAACTTGAAGCTATACAAAGGACAATCCATCGCTTTGGTAGGTCCTTCTGGGTGTGGCAAGTCCACCATAATTCAGCTTCTCGAGCGATTTTATGAGCCTCTAGCAGGAGAAATTATGATTGCGGGTACACCAATGCAGAGCTACGATCCCGGAGTCACTCGCACATTATTTTCGTTGGTCAGCCAGGAGCCAGTTCTATACCAGGGCACAGTCGAGGAAAATATCAACTTGGGAAGATCCACGCCATTGACGCCAAACGAACTAGAGCACGTCATTGATCAGTCACAACTTCGTGACTTAATCTCATCCCTCCCAGAAGGAGTGAAAACATCAGTGGGATCTAGAGGTACCCAACTCTCTGGTGGCCAGAAACAACGCATTGCAATTGCGCGAGCGATTGCTATGGATGCACCGGTTCTGCTGCTCGATGAAGCCACCAGCGCCTTGGATAGTGAGACTGAGCAGCTCATTCAAGCTGCCATTAAAGAGGGCACTGCAGGGAAAACTGTCATATCGATAGCACATCGGCTTTCTACGATCCAACATTGCGACTGCATTTATGTGCTCGATGGTGGAAGGATAATTGAGAAAGGAACTCACTCAAGCCTCTTGGAATCGAAGGGTCAATATTGGTCCACGGTGATGGCTCAGATTGGTGTTTGCGAGTCTTGATGAGTAAAGGGGAATGATTGTCTAAGGAGTGAATCGGTTAAGAAAATTAGGGCAAGGGCCGTAAAGATGGCTTCGGAAGCAGCAGGGCGGGAATCTACTTTGATTCATTTCTCTCATTTCTTGTATTTGCAATTCTATACATTTAATAGGACAGTAAATTACTCTGTACCATGAATACTTCGACTATCTGGGGATTAATCTTAAAGAAACAAGTCAATACACCCAGACCAGAAAGATATCTGTTGTATACAGGTCTACCACCACTCAGTAAAAGGCACAGATACAGTATTGCATCAACATTAGGTATCAAATATCAATCCTAGTCTAAAACAAGTTACTACTCGTTTGCTGAACAGCAATCATATCCCGATATTTCCCTCACCGTTGTTTTCACGAACGATCATGTAGCTCCGAATACGCCCCAGAATAACGCAATATCGAATAAGGAGAGACCACGATGGCCTCGCAGTTATTGCCCACTCAAATCCCTGACATCTGTCCATCCCTTAGTACCCTAGCTAGGTAATTATTCTCCGGATGGCGTTCGGCACTTGAATCCGGTGTGCCATCCGGAAGACAGCGTGGGGCTATGCCCGGACACTATAGCATGTCCGACTTCGCGCAACTTGATTGGCTGAACATGGACCAAGGCCTCCGGATATCAAGATACAGTCGTCTTCAAGATGAGTATATATTCTTCGATGAATCGTTTGTAAACGGCACTCACTTCTCATCATCATTCATTCTCAGCACACAGTCCAGCTCAATACCTAGTCATCAATTTGTTCTTTGTATAGCAACATAATCAATATCATTGTCATAATGTCAGTTCCAACAATTGCAATTATTGGAGGCGGTCCTAGTGGCCTTGCTTTGGCACGGTTGTTGGAAGTCAACAAGATAGAATACGTTGTCTACGAACGAGACGCAACCTCTTCAGTGGAGGGCCAGGGAGGCTCTCTCGACATCCATGGGAAAACCGGTCAAGTTGTCTTGAAGGAAGCCGGACTGTTTGACGAGTTCAAGAAGTATGCGCGCTGGGACGCCACCAAAACTCTTATTCAGGACAAAAACGGAACCACGCACCTTGAGTTTGGTGAGGAACAAGATTCCCCGGAAATTGATCGCGCTTCGCTGCGTAAGATTCTGCTCGAGTCTATTCCGCCGAGTAAGATCAAATGGAATCACGCCGTTGGTAGTGTGGAAAAGCTTGACTCTGGAAATTTTTCTATCAACTTCAAGAATGGCATTTCCGTGGCAGGCTTCAAACTTGTCGTTGGAGCAGATGGTGCATGGAGCAAAGCACGACACTTGGTGAGTAGTAACCGCGTCCGATCATGGAGAAATATGCTAACAACAAAACAGCTCACCTCAGCAAAGCCTCAATATTCGGGGAAGCATTATCTTGAGGCCAAGATTTCCAATTCAAACCCCTTCCATCCCACTATCGCAAAACTAGTCGGAAGTGGAAATCTTGTAGCTATGGGAGAAGCAAAGCAAGTATCAGCACAAGCACAAGGCGACGGATCCTACCGCATCTATCTCGGTTTGACTGTTGCCGAGGACTTTGCTACAAACGGTCCTGTAGACCTCTCTAAAGCAGACGGAGAGGTTGCACGCAGTTTTTTCGTCACCAACACTGACTTCTTCGGCACTTGGGGTTCTCCCCTCAAGGACATCATTACAAACTCCGAGGGTGCCTTCAGGCCCTGGCCGCTTTATCACCTTCCGTCTGAAGCACTCTCTTGGGTTTCAGTTCCGGGTGTCACTGTTATCGGCGATGCGGCTCACGTATCTACCCCGTTCGTGGGAGAGGGTGTCAACTGTTCGATGTATGATTCCTATGTGTTGGCGTCTCAAATCGCGGAACACGGTTTGGGTCAGCTGGACGCTGCGGTTGCAGCATACGAAAAGGAAATGTTTGAGCGCGGGAAAGACTTGATTGAACGAAGCAACGGCAGTGCGAGCCTTCTATTTGCACAGAATGCCCCCAAGCCCTTATTAGATGTCCTGAAGTCCTCACAGTAGGATGTTTAATCTTTGATCGGAGATGATTGGATCAGAGAGCCTTCATTTTGCAATATGGCTCCGCGATTATGTAGGCCAAGTTGCTTCTGGTCTTTGGTATACATTTTATTTCAAAATATAGGCTCGTAGGATGGATTTGAAGGATTCCGCAGTCGTTCATGCATTCAAGTTTCAATTCAGTCCTCAAATACTAGCTCACAGTTGGCAATGAGTAGCGATAGCATTATGTTAAACATAGATAGATATATTACAATTCTCGACAACTTTGATCATGCCTTACCTAGACTTTCCTCTAACCAATTGATCTCAATCTACATTTCTTTTACCATGGCCGGATCATCCTTGCGCGTATCTCGCATTTATCTACATGAACTGGATGACTGTTTCACCGCTCTTGAACGATACTGTGGCATATGACCATTCTTCCTTTGTTTTCAAGAGAGCGACTTTGATTTCCCCCTCCTCACTCTTTTGGGATTCATTTTTTATCTCCTCCGGGTTTTTCAGGAGAGGCATGCGAAACTTGTCTTTCCTAAATATCGTACCTACCAATCCATCAATAGTGAGCTGGGATTTCACCCCGACTGCCTCTTTAGGATGAGACCATATGATGATGGCTGCTGCCAATATTATGATACCACAAACGTAAAGTGCCTTGAGTGTAATCAAGAGACGAAATGGAATAATTGGCACCCTCGTCAGAAGTACCTTCGAGCGAGACTGTTCAAGAATATTCTTTCTTCTGCTGATAGCCCCGACGGATAGTGATAGCACGGCATGAGACATAAAAGTTGCAGTGGTTTCCGCAATGTCGGCGGAGCTGTTGCCGGCGCTGGCAAAGTTAGCCGCGCATTGTAATGCGGCATTCACACGATCGTTGCCAAAAGGACCAGACATGATGCCACCAAGAGTGCTATTCGCCAGAGTCGTGTTGAATGATGTTACGGTATCGTTCACCCAGGTATACGTTGCTTCATAGACGGTAGAAGAGCAATTCAAGATCCAAGATAATGTTTCGACTGCGTCAGAATGATAGGCAACTCCAGGGTCATTTACAAAGCTCTTTGAATCAATCTCTTCTTTTACAGCCCAAGTCGCGAAATACACTGGATTCTGATATGTGAAAGGCGAGGTCTCGGTGAGGCTTGAGTTGCTAAAAAGCTTTATTCCCACCGGGCTTGACAGTGTGTTAAAGTCGCCGGTAAGTGCAGGTGTACAGTTGAACTTTGAGTCATTAGGTTGCATGTAAGTGCAGTCATATGTTATTGGTTGACACTGCGTAGATACTGCGAATGTGGTGGCTTTGAAGTCGACGTTTGAGGAGCTTGCTGCGTCTCCAAGATATAAAACGGCCGGTGATTGGTTTGTTGGAAAATAGTTTACTCTATCGATTGTAGAGACATTGTGCAAGACTTTAAAAGCCTCGCTAGCAGAAACAAGGTAGCTTTTCCCCATCGCTGTTATGACGTTGCATGGAGAGCCGGTCCCGTTGTCGGTGCAATCGCTACTTATAAGCCCCCGACCAAACGAGTGAATAGAAGGGCTATTAATTTGTAACTGCGTTTGCTCGATTGGTATAACCACGAGGCCAAACCAGGTATCAATAATTGGGATGACAAGACTTCTATAAATGTCAGTAACTGAGCAGAAATGACTCAATGTGACCAAAATATGATCTACTCATAATATCCGTCGATGATCAAGTAATAAACTTACCCCAAGATTGTTGTAATTGTCAGGGTAATAACCACACCAAAAAGAGGGCCGTCAAACTTGCTTCCTCTTGTCGCTCGATAACAGATGGCGTCCCAAAGGCCGTGCCACCCACTAACCAGGAGGCCTAATAACACTGATAATTGCTTTGGTGTGAGGAGTTTGTTGATCTGTCCCTCCTGTGACATCTGGTTCATAGAATTGGCCGCGAAAAATGTCATCAATCCCGTTATCGTGCCCGATAAGTATGGAAGAAGCTTTCCAGCCGCAGAAGCAATAGTACTTAGAGATGACGGATTAAAGAGTACATAGTATGCCTTGGAACCACCGCTGACCATAAAATTACTGATGATGTTTCGTGGAGCGGAGGAAATATTGCCAGAAGCTTGCAGCTCGGGCAAGCCTGGGTTCAGAGATATGCGATTTTTAAATATGATACCAATGAGAAACCCAGATACAGAAGTTATGGCCAGGCATGGTACGGTAATTGCCAAGAGGATGGTTACATATGTGTTTATTTCATGCCCTTGATCTTTCTTCTTACTTCGCTCTTCAGTCTTGGTTAACATCGAATACCAAAGTTGAGTCATCTTTGAGAATCGATGAAATCTTTTTATCTTTGAGGTTGAAAATGGAAAGAAACAAGATTTGGAGTCAACTTGCCTAAATGGAAACTTTTGAAAGACTCCGCACCTTCAGTATTTATTCCCCCTGTGTGTCGCACAATGATCTTTGTAAGGCACTCTGCATACACATCATTGGGACCAAGAGCCGGTGATTTCGAGATGGAAGCCTGATTTAAGGCTTGAACTATGAACGCACTGAGTAAACAGCTCTTACTGCGAATTCCAAATGTCTGGTACATGTACGACCTTGACTCACAAATTTGTGGCTTTCAGTAAGGCGAAGCTGGGCTAGTAGGCCTGATTCCACTGAAGAGGCTGAAAAGGTGTTTATGCAGTAAGGAGAGAAGATTGACGACTGGTGTTACCGCGCATCACTTAGGTTACGCAAATCGTACATCAATCACTCAGTATTCCATTGTAGAGGTACACGTTGGTTTAAAGAGCCCGAAAGACTGAACAACTGACGTGCTATGTCGTATCTACATGATACATAGCTACCCATTTATTAGAGTAAGGAGTCAAATGGTAATGGATAGTGTGCTCTAAAGGAGTGATAGATGCCTCTTATGTGGGCTTGCCGAGCAGAGCCTTGTTTAACCACGAGTTTCAAGGGTCGCGTGGAATTGGAGGTATCAACTAGGTAGCGAAATAGGCTGTTTAAACAAAAAAAAAAAAAGGTCCGAATAGCCTTGTTTTCCAGAACCCAAGGATTCGACACTTGACCCCTACGAGCACCGAGCTTTTGACACATACTGTAGGACAGACTTCTACTACATACTAGTGTCACCGTGGCTGCGCTGCGAGTATATTGGGAGATAAAAATTCATTCTAAATATAAGTTGACTAACGTCCTTATTAATTCCTCATATATGAAGGTACTTACATGCATGTGTCATGTGAAAGCACAGCCACGCACTATTTTTTTTTTAATGATATGGCACGGACATCATTCCGTTCCTTTACATCCTTGGTGCTTGGCTTGCGTAGATTGAGATCGCAAACCTTTGCTGTTTTGAATACTGATTGGCATTGTTGAATCTCCACCAGCATATAGAGATGCGAAGAGAAAGCGCCAAGACACCCTCAAGCTGATATTAATGTTCAACGATCTACATGAGCAGGCACCTAGTTGTTGACTCTACTGATGGTTGGATAAAAATATACTGAGACAAATTATTTAGAAAATCACATTTTATTGCTTCTCGTCAAACGGCCTTACTTGAAGCCGCAAGTCAAGTTTATATAACCGAAACTTGCATTGTACTCTCCAACTATCTTGATCCAACCCAAAACCGATTCCCTCTAACTAGAGACCTAGGGCTGTTCTGGTAAGACCTAAACCACATGTATCTCAACTATCAATACTATGGCTTCTTGATACATTGGGTACCCTTGTAGTACTCCTCTAGTTTGCAACACCTGGAATCTCCGTTTCCTGCATTCCATGCGCAGTAATACCCATTGCCAAAGTCACACGGTCCATTTTGGTAGCATGGCAGAAGCTTTGCTTTTGCAGCGTAACATTTACCGTTCAATGCTTTCTGGCCGTTTGCGCAGCAGATTGTATTGCTCGACGCACCGCCGGTACTGTCGACAAAGACGCTGACATCAATTGTACATTGTGGTGTGCTTCCTGAGCAGATAGTCTTCCCGTCGGGGCATAAGTTATACGACGCATCTGCGCACTGCCCGTTTATTGCCTTTTGGTTGAAGGCGCAGCAAAGTATAGCCCCTTTGTTGTCTTGGGTACATTGTGTTTTTCCTGAGCAAATAGTCTTTCCGTCGGTGCATTGGAGCGCTGGAGCTATCGGGTCCACGCATTTTCCATTCAAGGCTTTCTGGCCAGGAAAGCAACAAACAGATGTTCCCACTTGGTCTAGAGTACACTGAGACTTCTCTCCAATGCAAAGGAGCTGACTAGGACAAGTACAAAATGGGAAAAGGGTGAGGTCCGAGCTGGCAGATGCTGGGCTGGCAGATACCGCAGAGGCTTGAAGCAGGCCAAGCGCGAGGAGAGCCGCAGGGATGAATGATGGCATGGTAAAGATGGGATAAAAGAGTTTTTTTATTTTGGGTTCACGAGCAGAGACTTGCTGGTAGCTTATTTGTAGAGACTGAAGAATAATGAATCGAGAGATCTTTTTCCTGGTACTATGCCAGCTCTATTTATGTGCAACTTCCCACATTCATCGAGCTAACAGTAGATGCCCAAATGCCCTACTTTCTCTTTCATCTTCCGATATTTTCCTTCTCCGCTGGTATGAAATGAGACTGTTTTACCTGAGCCGAGACAAAGTGTCAACTTATGTCACAGTGTGTTCCAATAGTGCTCTATTAATATATGAAAGCATGCAGCACTACGGTCCTTTAGCTCTGAGTGACCGAATGTCTTGAAATTTTAATCGCATGACTATTAAGCCACTGCATGCCGCATCCAATATCTACGGAATAGGAACGGTCTATAAGAAACTACACCTTTAAAAAAACGTGGCGTATTTGGTCTTAAGCGGCCATGTATACGCAGCCAGATTTGGTCTGTCTGGGCAGTAGCTGGAAAATCCGAGACGTTTAATCTTGCGTCCTTTGACGAGCCGTCTTTCTCGACGACTCTATATCTAGGCTATTAATCCGAGACACGGGAGTACCCGTGTCTTAGTGGATGTCATATGGCCTTCGTTCCCTCGAATGGCTGCCACACCAGTCTTACTTGAGCCGCTAGGTCCCGATATCCTACGGGTGGCTGGTCGGATCATCGGACAACCTTATCTGCAAATTCAACTTCCGCGGAGAAAGGAAATCTCAAGTGTCTTTACGGATGCGAAGATGCTCACGTGTACTTCACTGATTCATGCCAGCATATTGTAATGATCAATTGGACATCTGAGCTACATAATTGATGAACTACTGTCCGTGGGGAAATGGAGCTTGACTGATGGCTCCAGGTTTACCCCGCCATTTCAGTGCTCAATGATCAGTTAAACTGAACCACATTAGTCAATCTTTGTCACGAAAGGACTCATATCATGAAGAGAAATCGCTCAGCTCACCTCCAATCGGCCGTTGATGTTGGCAATTCGATCATCCAGTTGAATACCCTGGCGTTCACGGTATCCTCCATCTCGCATTGGCAGCTCGGCGGTTAAAAGGCTGCCCTCTAGCCGGATCTCATTGGCAGAGGCGGAAAAGTCTTGAGTAGTGACACAATTATTGATTAGCGCTTTTTGTCCAAAGAAGAAAAAAGGCTTTTATTTTGATGTACGGAATGAATGGATGAATGAATGTTATATGAACAGATTGAGTTCAGAGTGCTTCTGGTGATGGGTGGATAGAACCATAGTGGGTAATGAAGACTCGGAGACCAAAAAAAATATCCTTGATATTACTTACTGACGCCATCCCACATGAACCAACCATCTTCATTGCCAATGAAGTTGTCGAGGTCAATACGGGATTCTTGCCAGTTTCCCTCTTCATCTGCAACGTTGGCAACGAGGATGTGGCCGTCCTCTAGCCAAAAGTTTTGTGCTGAAGCTGAGAAAGACATTGTGACTGTGGCGTTTCGTATAAAGAGGGAAAAGGACTAAAGGCTGCTTAACTTGATTAAAGATTGGAATTTCTCCGAGATGCTGGTGCAAAGGTTCTTATATCTATGAGGGAAATGCACATGATGTTTGGAGCCTCAGGGGGCGGCTGTGTCGATGCCTAATACCCCTCATTGTGCCCCGCATCATTTTTCCTGCATGATGTTAACCGCCAGTGTTGAATTCTACGCTGTTGAAGTTCTCGCAAGTATTGCTCATGTCGCAAGAGCACTCCGTAGAGCTGTCAATCATCAAGGCCATTGGTCGTATGTGCTTCTACAAGGATCATCACTGAGGATGACTGATGCTTATTGTCCACGTTCTATTCCAAGAGGTTCTTGTTATACGCGCCTTGACATAATGACGACTCTGCAAGTCAGTATGACTACTACCGCGTCTAACATGAAGCTAAGACGCGCCAGCTGAGAGTCCAGCCAAATGCAACTAACGTACTTATCCACTCAAGTTTGGAAACCCACAACCTGTCGATTCCCTTCGTGATGAATAGGAATAACATGGCTGAGCTGGACCCTTACCCCGAGCTTCCTGATTCGCGCAGCATTCGGGCCATCAAGTTACATGGCGCCACCAGCCCCAGCGACGATATTCGATTCGACCTGATCACCCTGTCTCTCGATGCTCCGCTGCCGTATGAGGCGATCTCATACACATGGTCGGGGCAACCCCTTGACCGACCTGTCTACGCCAATGGCAGAGAGTATCTCGTCACTAGAAATGCCGAGGACGTCATGAGGAGACTACGCCCAAACAAGCCTGAGCATTCTCGTCATCTGTGGATTGATGCCATCTGCATTAATCAGAAAGACGACAGAGAAAAGGCAGTGGAGGTACAGCTTATGTATGAGATTTATGCAAATGCAGAGCGTGTCAATATTTGGCTTGGCCAAGGATCACCATCAACTGCTCTGGCCCTCAAATGGCTGAGGTGGTACAGCTGGACATTTTCTCCAGTCTGGAAAGCTCAGACAAAATATGCCGGGGGTATCACATCTGCGGGTTCAATTTTCATCAGGCTGCTTCTGTGCATCGCCGTAATATGCATGTCATGTGTTTGCGCATGTATCATGCTGCTTGTTGGGGCCGTAGTCTTGTTTCCTTTCGGGTTGCTATCCGTCTTCAAAAGTGGGCGGTCTTCTTACTCCCCATTTCAGCTTCTTCAACTAACACATACTGTTCCAGGCTACAAAAAGCAGTTCCAAGATGGCTTGGCTGACTTGGCGTCCATGGAATACTGGGAGAGAGCTTGGACAGTTCAAGAAGCAAACGCCAACGAAATGTGCTTTATTCTATGCGGATCGTCTGCGCCGCTTCGGCTTGATCTATTCTACATGAGCCATTATATGATCCCGCCGATATATATCTTCAGCCTCCTTAACAACAGCAAACTAAATCAACGCTATAGCTTGCACATACTTGACATATTTCACACCCATGTACAGGCAGAGTTTGGCACCCAGGTCTTTGACGTTCTTTGTAAGACAAAAGCAACGATAGCCAAAGATAAGCTGTTCGCCATAAGGGCCATGTTTCCTGACAGTCTGGGTGCATTGACTATCGACTATTCATTATCTGACAGCGATACTTATACCGAAGCCGCCCGTATTGTTTTAGAGGAGACTCAGAACGTCGAATTCTTTAGATATGCTTGCCAGCCTGGTCGAGAGGACAATTTTCCCAGTTGGGTGCCTTCATGGTCGGCGCTTATCGACATTCCAGATTGGATCTGTAAATTTGCGCCAGCGACAATATCTCAGGAGGCTATTATAACAGAGGACGATGATACGAATGTACTCAAGTTGAAGGGACGGCGGGTTGATAAAGCTGCGTCTGCTATCAGTGAGAGGTTTCCAAGTGTAACACCTTTGCAAGTCCCGTGGTCACGCTCGTTGGATCTCAATGTCGCGCGCGAGGCCTTCGTGGTCTTTAGGGAATGGGTACATGCAACTGGGGCGGCAAACAACGAGGACCCCTGCATGCATCGACTGGCATGGATGATATCTCAAATGATCAAACTGGATGTCAATGACGTTTTGTCTTGGTTTCAATTGACATGGGCCGAGGACAATTTTGGTATGGAGAAGCTGTGGGACTACGGACTGCATGGGGGAGAAGTCTGCGATTCACGAAAGTTCACCGTGAATTTCTTGCAAATGGTCAGTGGTAGGTCGCTTTTCGTGACGGAAGCGGGAAGAGTCGGGATGTCAACTTTGGTAATATATCCGGGAGACGAAATTGCGCTGTTTACAGGCGAAAAGCTGCCATACGTTATTCGCAAAAGTCTCGACTGTCCAGACAAATACAGGCTAGTAGCACCGTGTTGGTTAAGCGGCGCCCTCATGGGTGAAGAGTGGCCGGGTTGGAATGGGCAGCTGGAGGACTTGGAAGATATTGAACTAGTTTAAAGCCACAAATCTTAAGGCGGTTAAAAAAAGATAATGCATTTCGTTGCTGGGAAGCCCAGTCCTGACATGAGAATACACAAATAATAGCGTGTTTTGGGATGGTCATGTACACATAGATTCTGCTGAACATATCCAACGGGCTTTGACGAAGCGATGATCTCTTTGTGGTCTCTTTACCACGTTGAGACAGGTTCTCTCTCACCAGATTCTAGAGTTTGTCGCCCGACAAGGAAATATTATGCGGGTTCGTAGATGTCAGAGCGTTCATAGACCTGGTTGTCACAGCGTCCAAGCTAGATCCGCTGAGGATGGTTTCCTTGACCTTGCTGATCAGTTCAGCTGTTGAGACAACACCAAGCTTGAGAGCGTCTGTAAGTAATCTCGCAACGCCGTGCTGCATCACTCCACGCAATATCTCCTCTATTTTTTATTGAATACATGTTAGCACTATAACAGCTTCGACCATGTTGCTATCTACATAAATAATGTTTGACTTACTTTGCATGGCTGGCGTGTGTCCTTTGTGCAAGATGATGGTGTATTTTTTGAGCTTTGACTTTGGATATTTTGTTGATAGATTGATGGGGTGGCCTAAGCTGACAATCGTATGCTTACTGCCATCCTTTTCGGTACTCAATGAATAATATTTTCGTAGAGCTGGGACCGTAGTTGCGGCGGTAAATTAATAGAGTCTTCAAGTAAGAGCGTGAGATCGCCCACCTTCTTTCTCTTCTTTGTCATTGATGCATTCAAGCTGGATAGGCTTATCTTCTGGTCTCAATCCAGCTCTCTTCAATAGCTGGCGAATAATTTCATCGTCCTCTGTTTGTATCACATACACCTGAATCAGTTGTGCGCTTTTTTAAAGAGGCCAGATGCACTCACTGTATATTATAATCCCATGCTCAAAACGAGACTCGCCTGAGTAGCACATCAAGAAGAAGACGTCAATGTACCCAACGAGTCGTATCTTGCCGGGCCATCGTTGGTTATCAATGAGAATATCCCACGGATGGATGTCACTAAGCATGAACTGTTAAGGATAATACAGCCACGATGGTCTGCGATTACATACTAGTCACATTCCAGGGTGTTATCATCAATTGTTCGACCAAAAGTGCGGAGAACACGATGATATGAAGCCATTTTCGGAGAGCTCTACGTGAAGCAATAATAATAAGTTGAGAAGATGGTGAAAGAACACGGCAGTTTGAAACGAACGAAGTTCCAGTAATGCTAGACGTTAAATGAAGGCGAATGCAGATAAATTGCTGCTCAAGATTGAGGAGCCTGTCGTACACCAAATGTCGAACATTCTAGGCCCAAATACAATGTAATAACTTTAACTGACCCAAACGATCAAATGGCCTTCAATTGTTTGCATCGCGTGAGTACGGCTACCTGTCACATTAGGTCAGCCTCTAAATCCTCCTTTTCGTTTCACCACTGAGACCACGTCACGCAACTTTGGGCATTGATGCAGATACTTATGGGGCGCAAGACGGTGGCTGCATGAATTATGGAGATCATCGTCTAATGAGAGCTGCAGAATAGCATGTCTTCTTCAGCTGGCCAATCAAATCCCAAATTCATGTGAGTCGTCGCTTGCCATAGCCTAGCAAATGACAGAGGGTGAAGAGGAATGCGCGAGGGGAAGAGAGGCTCCAAGAACGATTCATGTCTTCTTTCCAATAACACATCATGCAAATTATATTGTTGCGGCTCAAATCGTGCCTTGTACGCTCACGACTTTGACCATTGGCTATATAAGCGTGGTTGGATTTTAGAGACTTACTGATCGAGAGATCTCTCAGGCGCTCTATTATGCAATGATTTGTTGACTAAATTGCAGATATATTCATTGCTTTATCATCTTCATCAGCTCATTTCTCCTGTATGATCTTTTTACAACCTCTGACAACTTCATCTACGGCACAGGAGGACGTACCCTCCAACACCAACTTCACCATGGCTGATCAACTTGACGAAGAGGACTCTTCAAAGAGAGTTCTCGTTGCGAGGAAAATGCTCAAGACAATGGGGTTTCACGAAGAGATGCTTAGAAGTATCGTCACGTCATGGCTCGTTCCTCGTTTCAGACCCGAGATTACCTCCGAGCTGGGTCACAGTCTTACCAGAATCCAAGACGTTGGGTTCCTGGGGATAACAAACAACTCCACCGAGGGGCTGAGACCTTACCGAATGTTCGACATTGCAGATCGTATGCTTGTTGACAACATTGATCCATCAGCGCCATACTGCATGGTATCGCACCGCTGGAAAGATCCTGAAATCAACCTCGATCTACTTCGAAGCGCCAGAGAATACGTCTCTCAGTCATATCCAGTTTGGTACAACTCGGATCGGAATGATGTTGAGATCATTATAAAATACTGTAAGGAGAAGGTGAAGCAGCAAAGAAAAGATGTTAACGGTTATGCCGTGAAGAGCAGACTTGATGAGAGGCTATCACAGCAAGGCTGCTATGTCCTATCTCTTCTTGGGATGCACCACCAGAGCAAAAAGATTCACGCGGAAGTACGTGAAGCGCACAGAAACTTGGAGAGAATTGTACGAGACCAAAAGGTTGTAGAGATGGAAAACAGAGTATACAAGGACCTCAATAATAAGGCGAAACATCCTGAGGATGGAATTGCAAATGGAACATCGACAGTGGAGGCCTACCAATACGAACATACAACCAATAATGTTGATGAGAACCATGATGTTATCAAGGCCGCGTACGACAGAGTATTTGACACAGAGTGGGAAAGAGACAAGCAATCGGAGAACATCAAATTCGATGCCCTGAGTCGGGATCTCCGTGAGTCAGTGGACGGTATGATTCGCTGCTTACGTCTTTGGAGATCTGCCATCAAAATCGAGCAGTCCATTCTGAAAGCTGGAGAGATTTTCGACCGTGGCCTGCTACCCGGCCAGAAGCAGCAAAAGTCTTATGTGTGGCTTGATACCTGCTGCATAGACAAGAGCAACCATAACGAGTATTCTGAGTCAATGTCACTTATGGGGGATTGGTATGCACAGTCTGCATTTACCCTGGTGCACTTGGATACTGGATTCGATAAGTCGCCCAAGGGGTCTGATGCAGAGATCTATTGGAAGGAGTTCTTGGGCACAGATGGCGATTATGAGAAGTTGGCTTCACTCCCGGATCGAGAATTGGATCAAGTTCAGAGCTACAGAGATATCGACAATGAGCCGGAAGTTGAGTGGTCCACGAGAGGATGGACACTGCAGGAGTTGGTCATGAGTAGAATGACATACTTTGTCAATGCTGACTGGGAGTTCCTACACCGACCTGTTGAAAATCTAGGGCGCGCGTATCATCTCATACCTTATATCGATGTGTATACCGAGGCTCTCGACGTCAAACCCACCCCAAACTCATGGAAGCCAGAAGTCTTAATGACTGCGCTATTGAACTCTGGGGCAGTCCTCCAAAGTGACGCGATGAAGGTGGTTTATCCTAGGATTCAGAAGGAATCGGAGGATGTGGAGGTCGATGATACGCAATCTTTAAGCAACCGGCTATTGACCTCGATTGCGATGCCATGGAACTTGATGGACACCATGTTTCATGTCGTCAAACCCGAACCAACCAAAAGCGAAATATCGAAGGACAAATCTTCACGAGACACCTTGCTGCGAGAAATTTCGGTGCTTTGGGATCCGGCATTGGCAACTCGGTTTCCTCAGATTGAGGCTGACGAAAAGGACAAAGCAAAGCAAAAGCTTTTCATGGTTCCCGAAAATGCATTCCCTCAAACAAGCCCGGATGCGGAGGAAAGGGTACTACATGCGCTTTCTATCATCAAAGCTCTCGAGTTGATAGGATTCTGTTTCCCCAGGGACATATCCCGTGAGACTGCCAAATCAGAAATGGCACAAGCCGTGTTCTTTGCCGCCGTGGGGCTCATTGAATGCTACGACGAAACTCGGCACCCCATTGTTGTTCAGCGAATGCTGCAGAGAGAGATTGGTGGCGGTAAACCAAATGAAGCCCAGGAAAAAGAACTACTGAGGCTGAAAAGGGAAGCGGAGAAGAGGGTGAAGCTTGAGATGCGGAAAAAGCTCTTCCAAGAGCTGCTCAATTCCTTTCCCGAAGCAAAGGAACGCTGCGCCATCGACGAAATGAAGAATACGGAAGAAAAGGAAGAGGCATTATCCAAGACTCTTGCTTACATCTTGCATGTTGTTGTCGACCTGGTGAAGCCTTTGATCCAAGAGGACCGACAGTACATTGCCGACTTTGGCAACATCACACTACTCGATTCATGGATAGAAGGTACACAGAGATTTGGTTTCACCACCCAAGAGGTCATGACTTTGGCATGCGAGCGAAAGACTACAAAGTCGTTTGATCGTGCATATTCATTGATGGGTATCCTGGGTGTTCGATTCCCAACCTTTTCCGCAGAGGGATATGAGAAAGCACTCTGCCGACTCCTTGATGAAACAATCACCATTCATAACGACGTGTCGGTGTTCAATTGGGTGGGATATAACAAAGGAAGTTCGATGCGCGGCCGCTCGATGTATCCATCAACACAGGAAGCATACAAATCCAAAGGCGGCAGGCTGCACAGCCGCAATTCTTTTTCGGAAATTGAAAAAGACAAGATGCTGAGGACGACAAATTCTTATCATGCCGTTGTTGCACTTTTGCGCGATGCAATCGACTTCCTCAAAAAGAACACTCCACCTAAGCAGGAAGTTGAATGGATCCAGGACATTGCAACAATCGTCAAGAGCTTCAAATTGGATGAGTTGAAAACGCCCCCAGTTGACCATTCAAAAGTAGAAAATCTTGGAAGTCATATCAGCATTCACAGTAGAGCCGAAGCGTTACCATATGAGATTGAGATTATCAGCAAATTCATCGGGTACATCATCAATCCCTCCACTAGGCCAAAGTCTGGCCCGAATATCGAACCACAAATTGTCATGATGAGAAATCTTACGTCCCAGGTTTCTGTCAATACAGAACTGGAGCAAGTTTATGACATACCTGCTCGTGTGTCAACCGACGACACTGAACCAGTTGAGCGACCTGTCTCTCCAATTACGAACCAAGACTTTGCGCCTGCGGATGATGTATCTGCAGTGGCTCCAACCGAGATTCCATCCCCTGAGGCAGGCGTTGATGATGAGTCTGCGCCTCTGGGTAGAAAGAGCAGATTTGTAGAGCAACTCTCTGAAGCAGGCAAAACTCCAGTGGCGTCTGTGGTAGAGTCACATAACAAGGCGCAGAATGGAGATGAGATTGCAAATCCTGACGACGATGTTACTCGATATCTCCAAAATTGGGCTTCGAGAGTCTCCCAAGGATTCAAAGCAGATCAGAATACTCTAAAAGACCTACTACCGGCGAAAATACATGGGATACAATACAAAATTGAGGAGCAGCAGCATCAAGAAATCTCCACCAACAAAGTGTCATACTTTGGCTCCTCGAACATGGTCTCACCACACCCTATTATAGTCACCAATGCAGGCATTGAGGGTATATTCGACGTTCAGCGTGTCATTATTACAATGGCGGACATTGATGGCCTTCGACAACAAGTCGAGCATACGACAAGTACTGAGCAAATAATATCTGGTTACTGCTCAATCAGTACCGGGTTTGCGCAGGTGATTGTACGATTCTCCTGCAAGAGTGGCCTCTTGAGGAAACAGCTCGAGGTCAATGATGGAATCGACTTTGACGTGATAAAAGAGAAAAGTCCAAGTAAAAAGGAAGATAAAAAGCGGGAGCATAAAACGACTGCCAAAGTGCTTTGGAATAAATTGAAGAGAGATAAAAAGGACAAGGACGACAAGGATGGAGATAAGAAGAAGAAGAAGAAGAAGGGGAAAGAGGAATCAAATGATGGCATAGAAAGCGACTTGCTTATGTCGGAGAATCTAGATGATTCTGGCAGCAAGAATGGGATTCAGAATGAGGCATCGGAAGGCCAACCAATTCGCGACACGGATGAAGAGAAGACCATCAGCCGGATGATCAAATTTATCCAGGAAGAGGACTTGCGACTTGTGGCAGGTGAATGGGTGCTTGCGCGATGCTCAGGCGTAACCGACGCCAACTGGTTTCTCTGTCATCTCGAGTTGGGCTCGACACATCCATTTTACGGATATCGCATCCCAACGAGTGAGATTGACTTTGAGAATTGCATCCCGGAAGACGGGCTGGTGTTGGCGTGGAACACATACATGAACCGAAAGAAGGAAGAAATGTGCAAAATCTTGACAATGCTGCTCAAGTCAAAGGAGCGCAAGCTCAAGAGGAGAAAGTTGGTCGGCCGCATACTACGTGATCTGGCGCCGGTAGATGAGAAAGCCGAGCATGAGCATGAAGACATTCAGCGAAGCGTGGTCGACAGGATTGATGCCAATGACGGCGAAATTGATAATACGCAGAATGAGTATGACTATCTGGATGAGTACCCTCAGGATAGAAGCGAAGCTGCGAGAGGATTGCGGCCAAGTTCGGAGCTTCACTCTTACGATTCCGCGATGAGCATGCCACAAGATGACATGTGGTCAGCTCCCGTGGATCCTCAATCTCAATTCACAACTTCGAGTTTCGAGACGCCGAGCATGTTGCCCAACCAGGAACTCCGTCCCGAAGACTCGGTATCCAATATCGGAGATCAAGACTCGAGGCCGAGTCAACAGCCGCCGACGCTGCGTGGCTCTACAGCAGCCTCAAAAGACGGCGAGGACGACGATGGAAAATCGCATTTTTGGGATTATCTGCCATTCATTGAAAAAGTTGCCGAGACAAAGGCCAAGCATTTCGACAAGCATTTGAGCGCCACGGTGTTGAAGGACACGCCGCCGGTGCTTCGGCAGGCGATTGAGAATTTGAATGACAATAGGGATTTCTTGCCGGCCATGTTTCACTCTGCGAAGAAGGTTCATATGTTTTAGGGAATTTGGTGTAGCAAAATTTGATGAGTTTTCGTTATTTCATAGCATGATGAATAAATTAAAAGTGTTATCTGACACTGTTATTGAGAGAATAAGGAAATAGAGCTGCAAAAAAACATTAGCCGGTGTGGGGATTGATCCCACGATCTTCTGAATTGCATCTGCCTAGACGGAACAAAGTTCAACACTGGAGTGGCAGAATCCAGTAGAAAGCCATTCATGTCTTTGCGAGATTGATACCCAGACGTGTTGACCACTACACTAACCGGCCGTTGTTAGGAAATATGTGATGAGTTCTGGATTTAATAGAGCTGGTGTTGGATTGCTCTCGACATAGGAGGACGTTGATGGCATCGGGTGGTGGAGGGAATTGGGGGCTTGTCGCTAATTTATAGAAGGGCAGCCCGCTAGAGGATGCGCATCAGCGGCCCGTATAACGCCAATTGCTCCGCTGTGGTGCATTCGACGACTAGCCCCGGCGCCTGTGGGCTAAATGGATCTCGGCCCGGTCCATGCCATCAATTAATCGCGTTTACTCAATTCACAATGTATCCCTCAAGAAAGAAATTGTAGATCATACAATGCAATCAATTTGTTGATCTTTATAGAAATTGCACCAATACCCTTTAAAACAGTCTGAAGATGGAACACACAGGCGTTTTACCGCAATCGATCGTCTCAAGGAGAGCAAAAGAGATGGACGTCAACACTCCATGCTGTCTACCCGGCAATTAATGAAAGGTTGGGCATATTATATGTTACGTTTAATCCTTGAGCCAACGAATTTCAAAACTACCTAATTGACACTTAGAATGGCTCTGAGGAGCCCCAGGTCGATTAATGCTTGTCGGTAGATGCTCGTGCTGTCTCTACATGTAGCTTCAGATTACTGTTCAGCTTCCAAAATACGGTCCTTTCTCTTTGGTGGACACATACCACGACTCTTTTCTTGAAAGCAATTTCCCCATCACATAATTGTAATGAGCGCAATATTTAGTCAAGTATCTAATTACATGTAGTCAACTCCTCTCTTAATGCTTCTGTGTATAAACGCAGCAATCAGGAAGCCATTTCTCGGACTACAAACAACCACACCTGGCGATTCGCGCTCGGCGTTCGATTCATCTTCCTTCACGAGTCCACCACAAGTACATCAGTAACAAGGAAGGGTTGAGAATTAAGTGCCAAGAACCACATTATATCCAAATATCTGAAACGTGCCCAACTGGCCTGATTCGCCGGTTCTATACACTTTCTGTTGTGCGCGACATGGTATACACGAAAGATCGGTACACAACGCCCATCTCGAGCGAACCAAATATTCCATTCTTTAACGCTTGTACTACCAGGTCCTCCGTTCTTCATCTTTACGCTCTCTTTACTAGCCTTAGTCAAATGTGCCCAAGATATATGGAATTCTCATGCCAAAGTGCAGGCCAGGTTGAAATCGCCGTCAATCTGAGCTGAGACAATGTGATACCCTCTAAACATCACTTGTAAGGCTTTGTAGGTTCACAAGCTCAGCATACCGCCCATTTTCCTTCATTAAATCGACATGCGTTCCCTCTTCGACAATCCTTCCCATGTCGAATACGTAGATACGGTCTGCTCTCTGGATAGTACTTAACCGGTGAGCCACTGCGATAGTTGTTCGACCCTTGGACGCATTATCCAGTGCTGCTTGCACCAACTGCTCAGATTCGGAGTCCAAGGCTGATGTCGCTTCATCTAGCAACAGAATTTTAGGGTCACGAATTAAGGCGCGGGCAATAGCAATACGCTGCTTTTGGCCTCCTGATAGCAAGGCACCCTTACTTCCAACGACGGTGTTAAAGCCATCTGGAAGAGATATGATGAACTCGTAGATATTAGCCTCGCGGCAGGCAAACTCAACGGCTTCATCAGGCACATTGACACAGGGGCTGCCTAGAGTAATATTGTCTTTAATCGTCCCTTGGTATAGCGTCGGTTCCTGGCTCACAAGAGAGATAAAAGACCGGTAGTCTGCGATATTTAGTGTACTAATATCTTTACCATCGATATAAATTTCTCCGGCGGTAGGGTCATAGAAACGCTCTAAAAGACTGATTGTGGTGCTCTTACCGCAGCCCGAGCTTCCGACAAGGGCGATATATTGGCCTGGTTGGATATAGAGATTGAGACCGCGAAGTACCAGCTGCTCCGGTCGTTCTGGATAGCGGAAATATACTTGACGAAATTCAATCTTTCCTTTTACCTTGCCAAGTCGTTCTCCCTCGGCTGACCAGGTATCAATTGTAGGTTGCCGATCGAACAATGTTTTGAGTTCCGTTGCGGCTCGGTGCGCGTTACTCATGTTGGGTGCGAAGGAGAAGATAGTTCCAGCTGATTGTGATCCAAAGATGACCGTCGTGAGACACAAAAAGAATTGGAACTCGTCGTAATCCCCCTTGCCAATGAGTGTACCGCCGTACCAGAAGCCCAAGGCAAGACAAAGGAAAATCAGACTTTGTGATGCCGCATAGAGAACACTAGATTTAACAACCGACACAAGGCTCCTACGCCTCTGTGTCCCAAGTGCCTCTCTATATTCGTTTAGCACACCAACCTCACGTGTAAGAGAGGCGACAGTGCGCATCGAAGACACCGCTTCCGATGCAAAAGATGCCGATGCCGCATATTCAGCCTTTGAACGCTGCTGGAACTGCGCCAGTATCCAAAAGCGGTAAAATCCACAAGCAAGAAGAACTGGCGTGGCAGATAGGCAAACAAGAGACAGTTTCCAGCCGACAGCTAGTGACATAACTACGCCAATCACAAGGGTCGCCATCATCATGGTTAATGTTCCCAGTGTAACGCCACTGAGGCCGGCTACGTGTGTCGTCTCTGTGGATAAGAACGCCGTGAGAGCTCCCGACGTATTCTCGTCCTTGTCAAAAAATGCAACATCTTGTCGCAGTATAGTACGGAACGCGCGCTCCCTTACGCGGCGGATCAGTTTCTCGGAACAGAAGCCAAATGCGGCACCTTGTAGTGCGTAAGCGATGAACTGGACAACCGCAATCATCAAGAGCATGTCACTCCAGAAGTCAGAGTTTCTTTTTAATGCAGACCTGTTTTGGTCATTTATAGGATGTGATAGTGTCGAAATCTCTTTAGCAAAGAAGACTAGACGATCGACAGTCAGACATCAACATTCTTTATGGTCGAGACTGTGGAGGATGGGGGAGGCTTTTACCTACCTGACATGACGGGATAAGTGGCGCCACAAATGATGGAGAAAACCAGTCCCAAAAGCATAATCTTCCATTCTGGATCATTGAATGACTTGATGAGGGCTATCAAAGTCCACAGGGTGTAGCCCTTCTTTCTCTCATGATTCGAATCCGCCTTTTGTGGGATCTCAGCCAGGGCCGATTCCACATGATGAATCTTGATGTCGCTTCCAAAATCGGTTGGAATCTCGTGAATAAGGTGCTGTTCTTTGCCATGTAGCTCCTCTTGAGCATCAGTTGTCAAAGCGTCAGTCCCGAGTATGTTTTGTGCTGACACGAGATCAAAATAATGGCCTTTGCTGTTGAGTAACTCAGAATGAGTGCCCTGCTCGATGATACGGCCATGAGACATGACGACAATGTTGTGGGCATCCTTGATAGTCGAAAGCCGGTGCGCAATGATGATGGTGGTGCGGCCGGCCGCAGCCACTTCAAGGGCCGCCTGCACAACACTCTCGGATTTTGTATCGAGCGCAGAAGTGGCCTCGTCGAGTAACAAAACTACATGTAACAATGTCAGTTATCCAAAGCCTCTTATTCGGTGTGTTGGAGCAAGCTCGGTATAAACACACTTTTAGGATCTGATACAATTGCTCTAGCAATCGCAATGCGTTGCTTTTGGCCACCAGAAAGCAGGAAGCCCTTCTCACCCACATTCGTCTGGTAACCCTCGGGCAGTCTCATCACAAACTCATGTGCATTTGCCTTTTTTGATGCCTCAATAATAAGCTGCCGTTGCTTCTGTTCTGTTTCGTATTCGTACTTGGTACCAATGAGACCATAGCGGATGTTGTGATAAATAGAAGTGCTAAAAAGAGTAGGCTCCTGACTGACCAATGCCACTTGTTGACGGAGCCACCTCAAGTTTAGCTGGCTGATATCATGATCATCGAGGTATATCGTGCCGCCGACGGGCTCGTAGAATCGCTCGATCAGACTGATAAAGGTGCTCTTTCCAGAGCCTGACGCACCGACCAAAGCGGTGGTCTTACCTGCTGGGATCTTGAGGCTTACATTTTCCATTACTATCATTTCGGGGCGCGATGGGTAGATGTGCTGGACATTCTTGAAGTAAAGATTACCTTTCACATGGCCTAGTCTCTCGCCTTCGTCCTTCATTGGATCGATGGGCGACGGGCGGTTGATGGTGTTTGCGATATTACCAACAGCCGCAATAGCCGTTGCAAAGGCTTGAATATGCGGCATGACATTTACAAGAGAAAAAGAACCGACAATAATAGAAAATACGACAGTTAGAAGTTTCGATAAAGGAATAATCTCATCCAAAATGTAGCTGCTTCCCTTCCAGAACGCCAGACTGTAGGTGAGATAGAGGATTAGCCACATCGTAGCTGACATGCAGGCCATTGACTTCTGCATCTTGTAGCCATATTTGGCTCCTTTGTCCAGATATTCGCCATATTTCCTAGCTAATCGGTCTTGTGTACCGAAGGCGATAGCATTACGGATGGAGCTGATCACCTCTTCAGCCAGACTACCACCTTGGGCGTATGCATCAAGGGAGACCTTGTTGTTCTTGAGCATGAAGCTGGAGCCGATCCTAGTGGTCAAAAATAGAGCAATGAGGCAACTGGATAAGATCAGAGTGAGTTTCCAATACATGATGAAACCCACAACGTAGGCAGTGATAAAGGTAGCGATGGCGGCAACAGTTAGCGAAACCTTTTCAGATATGCCATCTTGAATGAGACTGGTTTCGGCGGTAATTCTGGTGGTCACCTCGCCCGCCCCCAAGTTATCAAAGAAGCCGATATTTTGGCGTAAGCAACTTGCGAGATAATGCTCTCGGATCTTGGCTGTGATGTGCTCGCCGGTGTATATGAAGCCCACGGTGCAGACAAATGATGCAACGAATTGACCGATGGCCAGATATATAAAGTAGAGAACAAATTTGGTGATCTGGTTGGTGAACTCACTGTATGTGAGAGATTGACCGTCGTCGATGCCATTTGAATAGCCCTGAAAAGAGTTTTGAAGTTGGCCAAAAACGATATTCATGAGCGGCATGATGGCACCTGATGCTACCGCGAAAATGGAAGAGACGGCAATAATTACGGCATCATTACGCGTGATATAGCAGTAAATGACTTTCATGCCTTGTTGAACCTCCGGAGTGGCGACTTGGCGCTTGAGGATCTTCGCTTGGTGAGGTGGGAGATGTCCATAGGGGTCTTGTTCGTCTTCGGGCTCGACATGTCGAGTATTTTCGGGGTCGTGCGGCATACGCATGCGAGATTCTTCTGTCGTATGTGGTACTAGAACCTCTTTGTGAGAGAAGTCCAATTTTTGAGCTTCTTGTGTGTCGTTTCCAATTGTTTCATTGCTGATAGATGTCTCTGATCGTTGAGAATCATCACTGGCATAACCAGTGCCCATATTCCGATTCGTCCTCCCAGAAGCTTCGGGCGCCATAGTCGAAGGTTGGCAGCATGCGTTGGAGTGTGGCCCAAGTATGTACTAGGATTGACCTTTATTATCACTTTCTACTTCACTTTTAGCTGCCATGAATATGAGGGTACCGCACCATGATAAGAGCACTTACCGGCTGGTGTTCAGCCAGACATCGATATTTGAAAGATTTTGTCAAGAGGAAACGAAGATTTACGTGCGTTTGGATCTAACATGAAGAGAAGGGATGTAAACATGCCTAAGGTCGGTCACGGTGCCATACGATGTCGGATTGAGCAACCGCGACGCGGCACACCTACGAACCTTCTTGCAAATAACCACAAAATGCGTTGAGATGACGCCTGCCGATTGTATTAAGTTCATTACAGCTGTTGCTTGGTAATGATGTAACCTACCTATATACATGTAGGCAGCATCTCCAGTTTATCCATTGCGACAGATCGACATCTTGGATACAAATTAATATGAATACAACTTGGTAAATGTAGCAGCTGAATGAGTGAGTTCCATGTCATCAGCCAGTATCGAGAATGTATACTAGGCAATATGCATGCTGCCATCTGAGACATACCGTCGATTTTCATTTCAGCGGCAGGATCTATGTAGAGTAGAGAATGATCTGGCAATTTCCCATTTAGAGAGTTTTAATCCTGTTCAAGGAAAATTTGGGGACAGCCAGCTTGACACTCGGAAAGAACAGGCGTACACGCGATCAGATTCTTCTAGATCCGAATGCCTGCATCTAGTCTGTTCTATACTCTGCACTCCATGCTGTCAAGACGTACTGCGTCATGTCTCACCAAACGACACTCACAGTATCCCTTCAAATGGCATGAGATTGAGCCAGACTGGAGGACATACTTAAAGTTACTCAAATACTGTCTAAATCTGAGTCAGGTGTCAGCGCATTCTGGAAATCTCCCATTGTCGACATTCCAGCCATCGCCCCCGTGATATGCATGATCTGCATGTCTGTCTTTCGTCTTTACGATGCAGGATTCATCCATAGTCGGCCCAATGCATCAATAACTTGTTATCCTTTTACACGTTTGATTGTATGGCCACTTGTGATATAACTATAGCAGTAGATACTAGAGGGATATGGCTATAGTAGTAATTGAGGTACCGTGTTAGTGGTGACAAATCGTTTCAGTACATAAATATGTAGATTACTGCCTCTGAATGCCTGGTATTAGGCCAATTGAAAGATTTGGCACAATAGCGCGGAATCACGGAAATAAACAAGTATACAGCAAGGTCGTCGGCCAACTCCTTTCGTTAGTATTTGATGTACCACGTATCTCTTCTTTCATATACGCATACGGAATATATCTTATCTTAATCCCAGTGACGTGGACTATTTTGCTTTGTTGCTGCAGGGCCTCTCAAATGAATGCCACAGTACACCTGTGATGCAATGTTTGATGCTAATCGACGGTGCATAATTAGACCAAGTCCCGCCTCTCTTAGCCCAGACAACCTCGAGGCCTGTTGAATGCAACGGTATTTCCAATCCAGCTCTAGTAGGCCATAATCTTTGTTAACTTAGTCTTTCATGCGATACCTAGCAAATCGGGAGGCTTCAAACTGCTCGGCGAAACTGCTCGGCGTCCTCTGCCAAGGGGGGGTTGGAAACATGCATTCTAGAGGCGCTACGTGGCTTCTCTAATCTTTTCAAGATATTTGCCACGTTCTGCTTTGGGGGTTTTCTTCTCTTTATGAAATAAACAAGTATGGCCAATGATTCCTAAGTATCGATCACGAGGCTCGCTTAAATGGCCCTGCAGTTTAAAGCATTCGGCATAACCTCACAAACCATAGGACCGGAGAAACTTGGCACACTTACATAGGCCGGGAAGTTTCTTTGGCTCAACATGCTCGTCATTGTTTGCCTATCTGATAGGGATGAACTATCTCCACCTAGGGTCTGTGAGTCGTTAAGTGACGTATTTGAAACATGCATGTTCTTTGGCCGGCGCTGCGGAATAGATCCAGTTCTAGTTTGCTCTCCATGAACTCTTGGCTAAGGGCTCCAAAGGACGGGACTGCTCAACAAAGGAGCCCCATTTGCCACATGATATGTACGCGTAATGCTCTTTCGACAAAGAAAATAGAATAGACAAAGACTATTGCCAAGGCATGATGAAAGAAATTGTGACCTGAAGGCGGCTTCCTTTGTTTGTAGTTCATGTTGTGCAAGCTGCTGCGCCGCCGTTGTGCTCGTCTTTCCCACCCTCAGTCTCGCCACCACATCACATGTACGTGTATTTATACTTACAATTCTGCCATCATACCAGAACCCAAATCTGGGCTGGTATCAAGAGGCTTGAACGGCACGACACTGCTTCAAACAAACGGTTATCAACAAACCGGTATTCTGCGAAGCAGCGCTACACGCAAGGTCATAATGAATCCAGGAAATGAAGTAGACCCTGAAGACACTGCAAGGCTCAAGAATATCGCACTGGCTTGCAAGAAGGATCTATATGAACTCTCGGGGGGTGATAAAGCTCAAGAAGATGCGAGTAACGCTAAAAGGGGAAACTGGGCCTATAGCCAATACGACGAGCTCAGCGAGTGGTGCATAATCGCTGGGGTTAACGGCAAGGGTCTCGACGCCATCGATGTGCGACTGAAGCATGCTCCGGGGATTTTTGAGATTCACGAGCAACTTCTTCAATCGCTGGAGGATGATCTGAAAGGTTTCTGCCTCTCCTAACAACATTCAATTAACGTAGCAGTCGTAAATGGATGCTAACTGGAATCATCATGATCAGAACTACAACCACCCTTCAGAGCACCCGAGCATGCGGTCAACATTGATGGTAGTGTAGACGGTGCTCAGCCAGATCCGGCTTTGCTATCTTTCAAGTCTTTCTCCTCGGTTGGGTCTGAGGTAGCAGGTGTCATCGGCGATCCTGCATCATCAGCATCCGAAAAACGTAATGCGCAATTGAGACAACGCATCGAAGACACAATACGCCGACTAATGGGTTACGCACTAGTATTCATCTATGTCCTAAAACCCCCTATACCTCCATCTGATATTGAGACCTTCATTCTTGAAAATGCCAAGGGATCGTTCACCTTGGCCTACCTCCTTGTGAGCTGGGGATTGGAACTTCAACGAGAAGGCCACACACAAGATGCTATCATAAAACAAATGAAAGGCATCGATGAAATTCTCGTGCGATACCGCTATCTCATCGACAGAGAGTCACTTTCATCGCGTTCAAGGACTATAGAGGAGGCAATTATCCATTTACGTGACGATCCTGATGCCGAAAGGTTTTTCGCAACGCCCTGCGGCCAGAACTGGCTATCATGGGCTAGAGCAAGGGCGCACAAACCAGCCGTCGAGCGGTTGCTTCATCAAGGCGCCAACCAGTCGCCGGTGTTTCTGTCGCTCCCGAAGAAAAGTGCGTAATATCTCATCACATGGTCGCTAATACCATGCATGCATTATACATTAGCAAAAACTTCGTATTCTTGCTAACGCTGCACGCCATCGCACAGACACCGACATCAAGTTTCGCGAACTGACCCTAGCAGACCGAGAGCTGGAGCTGCTATGGCCTAAGTACAAGTCACCAGGTGAAAAGATGGATCGCTATGGGAGTGTTAGTCCCTGGGCGCGAAATCGCGTTAAGGTGCAGGTTCCCGAAAACACATCCGACTACATCAACGCTTCTCCTATTACTCTCACGTCGTCTAGCCCAAATCAACTCCCTCTGCACTATATTGCTATGCAAGGACCTACCGAACCGTCATTCAACCACGTCTGGCGCATGGTTGCTGAGCAAACCACCGCATCATCACATGCAGTTATCGTTCAACTCACAGACATGTTTGAGAATGGTACACTTAAATGCGACCAGTATTTTCCTATGACTAAAGAAGACGCCCCTTGGAGCATTAACGACGACAATATATGGGGCGACAACTGGAAAGCACAACTTACCCTTGACTCGCTAGATGTCATTGCAGACGGTGCGATCGAAAAGCGCTTGCTGGTGCTGCGTACATGCAAAGAAGGAGAAGAAGGAGAAACACGCCTTATTTGGCACTTTCTTTACAAGCGCTGGCCCGACTTTGGTGTTCCAACGGGAGACGACCTAGAGAGCTTTCTTCAATTGATAAAGTTGTCAAGGGAGAATAGCTCGTCAGACGGTCAGCGCATTGTTCACTGCAGCGCTGGCATTGGTAGAACGGGTTCTTTTATTGCTCTTGATCACCTCATGAGAGAGCTCGACTTCGGAGTTCTCGAAAGATACGATGTGCCTTCAGAGGGCCCTGATCTAGTCTTTAAGACAGTCGATAAACTTCGCCAGCAGCGTTCGGGCATGGTCCAAACTGAAGAGCAGTATCGATTCATCTACAAGGTTATGTGGAAGCTTTGGCACAATAAGTACGGTGTTGTAGATGAGGAAGCTGACAACCACGAATTAGCAACAAGTGGGTTCAAAGATTCCAAGAGTTGAAATTACAGATCTGGTAGCATGAAGGCGTGGGACGGTGGCCTTTACAGGACTAGACTCTACAGTTGGAATGGTTGGCTATGGCGCCGGAGAAACTTTAGTGGATGGGAAATTTCGTCTAAGGGGCAGACAAAGGAGTGGAGATTGTTATACTTTCCATCGTTATAATTGAGATTGTAGTCATTACTGTTATTCAACTAACTGTAAGTGATCTTACGATATAAATTTATTTAGCAAAAAGATGTTTCTATGTATTGGGATTGAGAATTTGGATGCTATTGAAGCCGGCAAACAAAGCACCATAGCTTTAAATCAGACATACGATCCAATATATCATGTCAAAGTTAAAATAAGTGATAATACTAGAAACTAAAAAAATGTAGTCATCGCTGTTATCCTAGCAACTGTAAGTGATCCAAGATACAAATCTATTCAGCAAGTCTAGACAGATCCAGAGCATCAATCCAACCACACAGGATCCAACTCCTTCAACAACCCCAAATCAACATTAACAAAACTCTTCCACAGATCAATCTCCCTCAACCACGGCCTCGTCTGCACAGCAAACGTCACAGCCGTGCAATTCTTCAACAACTCAGCCACATCCTCCGCCATAACAAGGATCAAATCACCCCTATACGCTATCCGATCTTCAAGCCTTTCCTTGACATTTTCCAACGCCTTTACAGTTGTGTTATGCATGCTCAACTCGCTGCCCGGCATGTCCTTGGGCAAAAACTTCCACTCCCACGGTCGGGAGACGCTATCGAGGAAGCTGGTCGCCTGCCGATTCCCCATCCCTATCATGAGCGGGTAAAAGTGCGGCGCCGTCCAGATCCGAAGAAGCGCGAAACGAGCATTCGGGTGCTTCACTGCGAAATCTTCGGCAATGGGCAGTAACTTTGGCCATCTGTCTGGTCCGATGAAGTGAGGTGGATACTTTACTGGGAATAGGTTTCGAGGGTCGTCGTAGTTGATGAAGAGGTCTAGTTGGTCTGGGCGATGAGGCTCTGTGTTGGCCGTGGCCACGCCTGGGACTATTCGGGAGTCGTTTTCCAGGTGTGCGGGGGCCATTACTCCTGCTCGATATACTGCGATTTTGTTAGCAATTGCTCCTCCTGGAGACTTTATAGAGGTACTGACATTTGGCAATGATGGGGCGGATGGCAAGACTCCAATCGAATGGGTAAATATCTGAAAAGTGGCGGTCCTTCTCCAAAACAGCCTTCCACTCCGTCCAGAATTTCGCATCGCGGTACTTGTAGCTTGTTCTGGTCCTTCGATCGGGCCGAGACTTGCTTCGTTCTCGGGGATCGAATAGGGCAGAGTTCCGGAACCCCTCATACTGGTCAGACTTGAGAAACGCAGTCACATGGGCCGTTGTGTCCACCTCTGGGAAGAACATGGCCATGGTCGAAAAAGCCTGAACCATGTCTTGAACAATGAACGCGTGGGACCACGGATCTGAACCATAATCCCCATAGTAGTCATCGTCGAATGCTTCAACGTCGAGCCAGTACATTAACTCGGCAATGTAATAAACCCAATCAGTCGATTCCGCTTGAGCAGTTTTGAGCATAGTAGTGATGATTTCTTGGACCTGCAGATACCTTTCGGTACATCCCGGTTCAAGGTCACCATTGTGAAACGCCATTTTGAACTCTGATAGCAGAGAGTTAGCGGTTTGGTCCTAAAATCAAAGGCTTACATAGAATCGCATAAGTATACTCACCCGTAGATCTTTCACGTTCCATTACCTCCATAGGATCCGCACTTTCAAGGCGATCGGCGATTAAGTGGCTTTCTTTGATGGCATCAAGGCCAGTTTCCTCAAGGACTTCGCGCTGGTCTTCTGAGAGTGCCCCTTGTAGGAGCTTCTCCAGGCCGGTTTTCCATATCGCCGGAAGCGCCCACATACTATCTTCATCGCTATCCATCTCCTTGCTAAGCGGTTCTTTGAAATCTTCCCCGGCAAGAATCGCCGCCAAGCCTTTCTCCCAGTACTTGTTGTGACCAGGGAGCCCCGAGTGCTCAAGGCGACTTACGTGGTTTCTGATTTCTCGAAAATGCACATTCTTTTTGTTAGATATTAATTCGTCTGGGAATAGAACCTCATCCTCCACAGTATTGGCTTTGGTGTAGAACAGGTATGGGGAGTTGGCCATCTCACCAACGGCGGCACCCTGGGGCGTGAAGGACGTGAATGTTCCTCCGGTACTGAAAAGGCGGAACTCTACGTCTTCGCTTGTCACAACATCCCAGAGACTCTTGACCTGCTCGCCGGGCTTTATCTTGCGGGTTCGCATTGTATCTTCCTCCCGAGTGAGGCTTCGCAGCTGCGGCTCCATGTGGGAATACATATCAGCAGGCTGCGTCATGCGCCATGCCGTGCGAAGTTCCTTTTTTGTAGTTCTATCAGTATGGCGCTTGGCTCCTGCTAGTGGCATAAGAAACATACCGTGATGATGGCATTATAAAGGAGCAGAGGTGACTCGTTGGGTACCAGATTCCAGATGAAGACGTCGTAATAGTCATCGAATCCAAAGCGCCATTCCCTCAGCGCATCCGTCATGTCAAAGTAATCAGGGCCCACCTCAAGAGCGTTTTGCCATTCATTCTTTGAGGCCCTTCCGATACCCTGCTTCCTGCGATACGTCCAAAGATGCTTCTCGGGAGGTGCGGTTATGACGCGACCAGTTCTGCCGTCCCTCACCAGGACCAACAGCTCGCCGGTTCTCATTGTCAGATACTGCAGAAAGCGGCGGGTGACTGGATCGCGGCGCTTCATGTGGCCGACAATGATATTCCTCGTCTCGATCATGTCATGCTGGCGACGTCCTTTGCCTCGCCCGCCGGCCTGAAAATGGCGACTGCGTTGTTGAGCCTCAAGATCAATAAAGTAAGGGAAGAACTGCAACTCATGCAGCTGCTGAATCAGCCTGTTATTTGCCCAAGACGTCCAATTCGAAGCAGGGAAAAACTGCCACAGGGTGAGGAGATTCAGGTCGGCGAACTCTGCCCAATTTCGGCAGAGTTGAATAGCATGTTTGAGGTCGCAATCTTTGGCTATGATTGAGAATTGCAGCCAGCCGTCTCGAGACATTGCCTTTTCACTCGCGTGATTCCACACGCTCTTGCCACAGATGGCTACCCGAGATCTCTGTGAAGAGGAGATGGTTTTTTGGCGTGGCTCCCGTAGCCCTTGACGATCTGCCAACTTCTTCACAAACCATTCGTCCGTGTGGAGACGCCTATAGTGATCATAATCGCCCATCATGTCACCAAACTCTTCTTCGTCCTCTGAATCGCTATCATCCGTGGCCTCATCGTCAACATCTGCCTCTGCATCATCCCCGCGTGCAAAATCGGCACACGCATCTCTAATCTGTTGAAGAGAAGGATCCTCCAGCTTCAAGCAGATATCTCGTAGATCCGAGTCGACAATCTCAGCGTCGTTGAGGAACTCATCCACACTACCAGCACGTAGCGCAGCCGGTAACAAGGATGCTTGAGCAAGCAACAGGCGACAAAAGAGTAGCAACTTGATTTCTCTAACGTCCTTGATGGCAGTCTCGATCTCGTCGTCAGTCATCGGTGCCGTTCTCGTAAACGTTTCGTGGGGATTCTCCAACGATCCAACGAGTTGGAAACCCCAAACGTTTTCCATTTTCTTGTCGACCCCCTGGCTCAGGCGTTTTCTCATCTCTTGCTCGGTTTCAATGTTGTTCCTGTCGGGCATCTGTTGATCGGCTGCTTTTTTTGCTTTGTTTTGCTGCATGGCCATGAGCTTGTCTTGTCCTCTATCGGAGTCGCCGGCGCTGCCTTGATTGCCAGGTTTGACGGCACTCGGCTTGGCCTTTGCCTTTTTCTTACCCTTCTTGGAGGGTTTCTGGTCGTTTTCTTCCTGCTGTTGCTCGGCGGCCTCTTCTGTCTGCGGCTTGGGCTCAGGCTCGGCTGGGGGATCTTGGCTGCTGCGGATGTCTGCAACATTCATCCAGAGGAAGTGCCTGATCAGATCAACGTACTGGTTGCGCTTGTCGTGGTCTGTGTCTTTGATGGGGTCCCATGCCTCATCGCTTTCCCATTCATCTTCTGACATCTCCATACGCTCCCGGAAAGCAGCTTCGAGATAGGCATCCTGGCTCTTCTGCTCCTCCTCCCGCCTGGCCTGCTCCAGTCTAGCCTGCAACTTGTCTCGGTGACGCTTGAACAGGGCAGCTTCCTGCTTGATCTTCTTCTGCTCCTTGTCACGAGTTGCCTCTTCCTCTTCCTGGGCCCGGCGTACCCAAGCGAACCATTTCTCCTGCTGGTATAGCACATCCGCAGTTCGCTTTTCCAATCTTTCCAGCGACCGAAGAATGATGTGGCGGTTGCTGCTTAGCTTGTCGAGGTATGCTTGGTGCCCATAGTCGATTTGGAGCGAATAAAAGTGGGTGTGGTGAAGCCTGCGGGCGTCGATGACCTGCCCGGTGAGGACATATCTGTCAAAGAGATGGGAATGTACGGCCCTGAGAGTCTCTTGGTCTTGAACGTCGTCAAACGTCTGGTTCGCAAGAGGAACCTTGCTTGTCTTTAGGTAAGGAGGGGCTTCGCTCTCCAGCTCATCCAGCCTGGCATTGCGTCGTTTGTACCCCTTGTAGAGCCCATAGACCTGCTTGGAATGGAACCAGCAGAAGACGCCGTCGGCATGGGTAGCCTCTTTGGTACACTTGCTTCCATCGGACAGGTGCAGAGCCTAGACGTTGAACGGGAGTCAGCGGCCATGGTTTGTTCGGCACTCACAGCAGCAGCAGTGGGGTAGCGTGTTTGTTCCCCATACGAGCACATACCTGGCATTGCCCGTGATCTTGGCTCATGGCCAGTGTCCCGGCAATGTCATGCGGCTGTACAGATACGGAGCACCTGGTTCTAGCCGTTCCGCCTCGTCAAAGCCTCGTTCTGAGATCCTGATAGCCTGATAGCCCGTGCAGCCGTACGACCAGGCCAACAGAGTTAAATTTAGGCGGGCGGCTATCACGATAAGACCCTTGGCGTCTGGTGTCTTGATTAGGTCATTAGTACGTGTATGGATGCTGGAATCAATTGGGAGCCTCAAAAGCCTGGCCTGGGCTCTCGAGATGTGGCCGCCCCCCGATGCCGAAGCAGGCAAAATTGGACGTTTCATGCATGTTTCACGGCTGACTAAGGTGGATGCAGCAACGGCGGGGCTCAGGAGTTATTTGAGGATCAACAGCACGAGTAAAGTCTGCAACAGGGGGGCAAAAGACGCGCAACGAGAGCGAGTCAGAAAGAGAGGGTTGCTGGCCGGGGTAGACAAAAATATACAGTAGTATCAATAAAATGACCTGTGGCTATTTGTTGGTTTTTTTTTTTGGAGTCACCCAATTCCGTGGGGATTGAGTCCCGTCTGACTGCAGAAACCGCAAAAGGAATATACGCAGACATAGAGGAATACGCTCGCCATTCCGGAGGAATTGAGTGTGGCTGATATGTACACGTAGATTGCCTGATTCTGTATGCTCGTCATTTCTTGATCTTCTCTTGTTTGCACACCCCTTGAGCGGGTACATCCAGAGGTATTAATCAACAGATGTGGCCCCCAAATATCGAGCAATATCACCACTTATCAAGCCACCACATCCAATGATATTCGCATGTTTTGTAGTCTTTATCCAGAATATCCATTACATCAGCCATTTCATCATACTGGATCAGTATTACAGTAGGTACAGGACTTGATTGACGTGTACTCGTACGGTGTACTCCGTAGTGGTGCTGTACCTACTGCAACCCCCTATTATGCGTGGGCTTCTGGAAATAAATTCCTGGTCCCTCCTACGGAATAGCGCAAGATTGGACCATGACGCAGTCAGGTGACCAGATCCACCAGAACCTCCCAATCCACCACTCACTGCTCGGCGCTTCTATTTCCCCGGGCCCTCGATAGCTTATCGCGCCGCCATGTGCCTGGATTATCTCACAGCTGAGCGTGAGCGCCAATTTGCAACCCCTGCTCAGCATGTGGGCTCCCACTTTTTACCTTCCAGGTTGCAAAGTCCAATTTGCCTCGAGGGTTTCAATCCCAATCCCGGGCGGGTTCGGCTGCGTCATGCTCGTCGCTCGCATTTCCTCATCCAGCGAACCGTTTTGCCAAGGTCCAAAGTTCCAGAGCGTCTACGCGACTTAGTACTCGTACGGTACCTGCCGACGTCATCAAGCAAAGGGCGTGGCTGCGAGATGCTGGCTTGGCTGGCTCTGCAAACAGGCCTCCAACGGGATCAACAGCGTTGGAGTCTCCAGTCCAATCGGCTACTGCAGCACCAATCCTAGATCTTCCACTTTTCCCAAGACGGCTTCGTACGCTAGCCTCACCCGTTCAACCCCGCAATAGGGATTAGGGATTGTCGAGAGAATTCCTGTGGAATGAGATGAGTGCATTAGTAGCCTCGGCGAGGCCTGAGCAAGAGAGCACGCATGACTTGCCCTCGAGGGGTCATTCACCATCAGCTTCAGCGCAAGACAAGATATGACAGGCTGACGATGGTAGCATTCCGACGTGATGGCTGCGAGGACGAGGCCGAGGCCAAGTCCAAGTTTCAAGTTCCAAGCAATCAAAGCACATGTGGCGGCCCGAACCTCGCGAATCTTGCAACGGTAGACACGACATCCATCAAGGGGGGGGGGGGTTAGTCGGTCTTGGAAGCGCAAATCGGCCCCGGCTAAAAGTCATCTTGCACGCACGAGGTGGCGACTTGGAGGGGAGGAGGGGATGGGGAAGAGAAAAAGGGAAAAGGGAAAAAGGAACCTTGGGAGAAAAGAAAAAAAAAGGGTCCAGCAGCAGCTGAAACTGCGTCAGCGTGTACTCGTCGACTGCGAGAACTGCACCAACACAGCACAGTACGAGGGACTGCTCCAGTGGTGGTAGATGGTGCAAAACCGAGGAAGCGAGCCATCTCCGAGTCCAGCAAATGGACGAACAACAACGACAAGACAAGAGGCTCTCGTCGTCACTGTCCGGCCTGGCACCGCCTCGATGCAATGCGTGGCACGCGCGGGTACCAGATCCTATTGGAAGCTGGCGAACGCGCGTCAGACGGCCGCCATGTCGGAGGTCGGTGCCGTGGACAAAATAATTGAACCCACCAGGACCGACAGATTCGCATCATGTTGCCTCGTGTCTTGGCACAGCACTCTCTCTCTCTCTCTCTCTCTCTCTCTCTCTCTGTTTCGCCATTGCCGCACCCAGGAACTACAGTATTACAGGCTACAGTACCGCAACATTAGCTTAATTATACCCGTACTGATACACGTATAAGCGACGCCTCACATGGACCCTTTTGGAGTAGGGCTGCCCAGCGCTGTGGGGGGGCTAAGCCGGGGTCTTGTGATTAATCTGAGATTGGCAAGGCGCCGAGACAAGTATCTGCGCGTACCTGGCATGGTTCCACGGACACGACCTGGAGCAAGACGCCACCACAGCAGCGGCCGACAGGTACCTGCTGGATACCACCTCGCCGCCGCCTCTTTCGAGATTTCTCAAGACTCCATCACCATCTCCCCAATCTCCTTGCCTTAAAGTCCCTTAGCAGCATCGCTAGGTACAGGTAACCACTAGCAGCAGCCCCTCGTGCCGACGGCCCATGTACCTACACAAATACAGTACAAGCGCAGGTTCCCCCCCGTGGCGGTTTGCAGCCTAGCGCCTGTTCTAAAACAAAGGCCCCTAGAACGTGCCAGGCCTAGGCCCCCAGGCTCGCATCGACTCCCCTGTTGGGCCCGGCCAATCAGCGGCCCCGGCAGCGTCCCTTGTTCCATTCACTCGCTGTTGGCCGTGTGCTAGCGGGCTCGCTCAGCGATAAAAATCTCGTGCGCTGCGGGACTTAAGAGGTCTGTGGTCACCTAACGCTCTGCACTGGGCTTCGGTTGTTGTTTCGTCTGTGCTGTGCTGTGCTGTGCTGTGCTGTGCTGTGCTGTCTCGTCTCGTGGTGTTTGATCTCAACTTTTGATCTGTCGACTCCCCTTTGCACCTCAGTCTTGACTACCACAATGTTCAACAACAACAATAACGAGCAGCAGTTTGACGAGGAGCGCGGCGAGCGCCCGGCGCGCGAGTCTCGCTCTCCCTCGTCCACCCAGCGCAGGGCCCTCAAGTTTCTTCGCTTCCCCAGACTCAACAAGGCCGCGCTGTTCCTGCTTCTGCTCGTCGACGTGACCATCGTCGGCCTGCTGCTCTACTCGCTCGAGCCGCTCATCACGCTGCTGCGGAGAAACGACGAGCTCTTCAGCCCCCGAATCACGATCCCTCGCAACGACTCCTGGAGCTCGCCAATGTTCGACGACGACGACCGCGAGCTGGGCCACCCCAAGATCCCTCGCATCCTGCACCAGACGACTGCCAACAGCACCATTCCCCAGAAATGGGTTGCCTCGCAGCGCAGTTGCAAGGAGACGTACGGAGATTTCGAGTACAAGGTGAGTCGGGCCAAGTGATTTGCATACATGTATATACCTGTTTCCCCCTATTTCTAACAAGCAATTTGGCTCTTAGCTGTGGACCGACGAGCTGGCTCGCGAATTCATTGCTGCCGAATACCCCTGGTTTGTTGAAAACTGGGATGGCTATGCTTTCCCCATCCAACGCGCTGATGCCATCCGCTACTTCGTCCTCCACCACTATGGTGGCATTTACCTCGACATGGACACCTTCTGCAACGAGACCATTCCCTTTGAGGAGCTGGAAAAGGGCCCGGGACAGCACTATGCTCTGTTCAAGTCGACCCTGCCCACCGGTGTCACCAATGACTTCATGATTGCAACCGCCAGACACCCAGCCTACGCCGCCGCCGTCTCCAAGCTTCCCCTATTTTACGACATCACCAGGTTTTGGGCCGAGATTCAGCCTTATGCCAACATCATGATGTCTTCTGGACCGCTGTTCCTCAGTCTCGTTGTCAAGGACTATCTGCTGGGCCAGCCTTCATTACCCTCGCCCACCGTGCAGGTCATTGATCCTCCGGATTTGAGCTCATACATCACCGACCTCGAGAGCGCCACTTGGCACAAGGCAGATGCTCATGCCCTCATGTGGCTGGGCACACGGCCCTGGACCTGGTTCCTTGCAGGTGGAGTGGGACTGCTCGTCGGCTTATACCTCATCAACTACCTTCTACTGTTAATATGCGAAACTTGCCTCCGCAAGGTTCCGTCAACCGTCGCATACGCCATCAAGGAGAGCAAGCTGGCGTAGAGGACGAGGGGAGGTGTGGGCACTTTTTCTACGTATATATATTGCGATAATGGCTGCATCTTGGTCAAAAGGGAAATCTGATTTAATGCGTGGAGTATCTTTGTTGAAATAACCAGGGACGGTGCAAGGGAATAATGATATGACAACGCCGAATGCTCACCAAACTAGACTGGGAGCAATTTGTGCACCCCTAATAATATACCAAAATAATTGAATAACGATAACAATTATACTTCATCTACTACTCTATAACGTGATTGTAATTGAAAGTCGATAACCACTATCATTTGTGTAGATATGCAGATTCGTGCATCTTCACATGTTATAATAGTGAGCCCTAGACAGCACAGGGAATCACACCAAAACTACACAGATGGGTACATTGATATTTCAAAGCAAGACTACGTATCAACATAAGCGTCGAAACTCAGGAGCAGAATGATATATGCAAGCAAAGTGACACCGAAATAACCCTAGGAAATTCAACTTTTACACCTTGACATCTCACGCAGCAGGCGTCGGCAGCTGACACGCAAGATTTTGCTAGCCAAGACAAAAGACCAACAGGGCCAGATGCGTTACGTATGCCCTCTCCTGCAAAACATGCTTTCAGTGACATACACCCCCCTCTTTGGCCGTTGGTTACGCATGGCCACAGTTGTTCTATTGAACTCGGCAAAAAGGCGTTTATGTTTGGGTCTAGAAGCGTAGAAGCGTATAACTAGTTTTTCTCTACTTACTGCAGATACAGATACAATACGTATTGTTCAAGTTGAGGCGGAGGGGGGGCGTCTTATCTCGGCATAAATCTGTGTAAGATGATTGTTTTGGGAATGTGGTTTTGGGAATTGTCTCCACGGAGGGAAAATATGTTTGGGTGCTGTGATATAAGTGGCGTTGTTGAGATGGGCCAAGAAGGTTTTTTTTTTTTTTTTTTTTTTAATTTTCTTTCAAGCAAAGTTCATCATTGAACTTCAACCACCAAAGTACATGTACAGAGGCCAATTGTATCTCGCTCATCTCATAGAGGGGCTTACGGTTCAGACACTGCACTGCCTTAGAAAATTGCTGCGTCATTTATGAAATACATGTGGTTTCATTCGTCGGAATGCGTCTGGCGGGCGTTGGAGTTGGGGCACAAGTGGCTTGAAAAATGACATTCAATGGTTTCTTGCGCTACTTCAACACACTTCGGAGCAATTTCGTATTACCGATGCCCCTGCCAAGCCTCTTGGATCGTATCCCCACGCTGGCTAGCCATTAGGGGTATAAGTCGAGTTGCGATCTTGGGAGTTGATTGTTGCCGACGAAGTCTCTGGAGGACATTGTGTGTACTGTAGACGCGTAACAAATGTGTAAGATAAGTCGTTAGTAGGATATTGTTGCAGATGACTTGGCAAAGCGGGGATTTGGATTTCTTTTTTATTTCCGGTTCAAATCCGGTTCTTGGCATGGGGGAGTTGTCGGAGAGTAGAAGTGCTGGGGGTTGACAAACAAATTCGGAGGATTAATGTATTAGCATCCTTGGCAACTTGGCATCTCTCTAGATGGGAATGTGATTTATATGCTTGGTAAAATTGACAAGAACTGTCTTTTATATACAGCCTTAGGCTATTCCATCTGATAGCCTTTCGCTGCTTCTACTACTCACATATGTAGGCTACCTCTTTGAACAATTTGTGGGGCTTGTAGCACTGATTTCAAGCTGGATGCTGTTCGAGACACAGGATTTAAGATCAACGAATTCAAGTGATGATTGATCTAAGGAAATCTCCTTTACGTGTACAAGTTGGAGGATGATATACTAGCTTACATGTCACATCAATGCCATCTGACCCTTGATATTTATGAAGAAACTGATATCATCTCCAAAACAGACAACGGGCATCGCGAGTAGGCTATGCGTTGGGCAATTGGCCGTGTTACCTGCATATCTTACATACTTGATGTCATACAAAACAAGGCATTGGCAATATCCATAAGTATTAATAGTCGCCATATGCCATCTTCTGATCTAGATAGGCGGTCAACTCTTTTCAGTCTTCAACCTCGCCGTCATGTTTCTTCCTCCCGTCCACACTGAATCTAGCATTCCTGCCTTGCGGCAGCTCATACGTGATTTCCCACTCGGCATCCTAACCACCGCCATTCCATCGGATACGCATCCTCTGATTCAAGTGAGCCATATCCCATTTCTCTTAGACGTCAGCGATGAGTCCAGCGAGACCGAGCTTGGCACCTTGAGAGGGCACATGGCTCGCCAGAACCCCCAAAGCAGAGCCATAACCGACGCTGTACCCCCCGGAACCCCAGCCAATAACAATGTCCTGGAGCAAGAAGTGCTAGTTTTGTTTACTTCTCCCCATCATCACTATGTGCCACCGGTATTTTACGTCGAGACCAAGCCTACGACTGCCAAAGTAGCGCCTACCTGGAACTATGCCACCGCACAGGTCTACGGCAAGGCCAAGATATACTACGATTCGAAATCAAAGGACACGGCCGAGTTTCTCTCTCGGCAGCTAGACGATTTATCAAAGCATTGCGAAGAGTCCATCATGGGCTACACCGGCAAAGACGGCCGGCCTGGGCCGTGGGAGGTATCGGAGGCACCCGAACGATGGCTCGAGTTGTTGAAGAAGAATATTATTGGTATTGAGATATCGATTACTCATTTGGAAGGAAAGTTTAAGATGAGCCAAGAGATGCGAAAGGGTGATCGAGATGGAGTTGTTCGGGGCTTTGAAGGGTTGGGAACGGAAACGGGGTTGGCGATTTCGAGTATGGTTCGGGAATGTGGCGAGCAGAAAGATGCGGCGAAAATGTGAATGAAGATGAACAAATTGTCGCTTGAATAATATTAGGCAAAACTCAAAAGTGTACATGTATGTATCGGACTAGGATCGACAGCTGACGCGTAGGATCAATAAGATGCCGCCAGATCACTTGACGGCCCTAGATCTTGATCAGCCAAAGGCGGCGACTACAAGTTCCAGATTCACTCGCGGGTATTAGCTAATCTTGGACAATGGTCGGATGTATTGACCAGATTTCAGTGCTCAATAGCCTGCTCCAGGTCAACATATCAGACACTCCTATCGTGATGTTACACGCCAGATCTATGTGAAGATTCACCATACCACAGGTAGCCCACCCAATTAAAAAAACATACAGGCTCCCGCCCGCCCGCTAAAGGCTAAAAAACCTGTTCCGTCAAAGGCGGCGCCTTCAGTATCAACCAATCATGGTGGTCATATTCCCACACACAACCCGTGGGCCTTGAGTTCTAGTTAGCTTAGGCGTAATCAGAGATGAATAAAGACTGTCGCAACGCTATAGGACTTTGAGCATTGAACATGTTGAATATCCAGTCCAGCAGAGAAAATATATGTTGAACAAAGACATGGTGGCGAGGACACGGGGCCGGAGCAAAAGCGGACCGTGATTGCCAAGCCGTTGCTCCGGCTCCGTTCGGTGCGAATGAATCTTTCTTTTTGGCCACTTGTGGGTCGCTTCAATCCGTGGCTGCGAATGTTGATGTGCCGAGTCTGGTGGGCTTTGTAATTGTAAATTGGGTCTTTTTTTCTTGTGCTCCGACAAGTGTTACTCATTGCTCTATGACTAAACTCCGCTGCCTACTGATTTTTTTTTGCATTGCGAAAAGGCCAGTTAGGGGTTTTAAAAGCGGCTATTGATGGGGTAGAGGCTCACATAGCATAGAATGGCAGAGGAGGAAATTATCGAGACACGATCTAAGAAATGGTTGGAACAGATGACGTGACCAAGACTGTGGTAGAGGGATACGGATGGCATTTGAAATGAGAAGACTAACAATTGATATAATTCACGGCTACAACTATTGGCGAAATTACGCATAGCTTCAGCAACCTGACTACCTATCAAGCATGTTTGTACATCTAGTATACAAAGGAAATATCGACATAATCTTCTGAAACCCCGGGTTTTGTGTAAAGTCCAGTATTCACTCTTCAGTCACTTCAATGATTGTCTTACCTAAACCACCTTTCCCATTATAAATTGTTTGACACGCCTCCCGCACTTGATCGATATCCATCATGTTAACTCTTGCACCAACGACGGGCAATAGCTTCCCTTCTTCTACATAGCTCCTCAAAGTGTCGAGATCCTTTGCGTTGGGAGCCAAGAACCAATATTTATACTCCACGCCGTAATAGTAGGCCCGAAGCTTGTTAATTGAATCCCCGACATCAAGAAAGATTCGGCCGTAAAAAGGAATACGCGGATTGTCGGGCCGATTCATCACACTCGATGCTTGAAGTGTAGCAGCTGAGGGCTTCGTAGATATAGATACAACCATTCCTGTTGACCGGACCAAAAGAGGCAGAAATTGCATGGCTTGGCCGGTAGTGTCAAACAAAAAGTCGACAGAACGCAAGGGAATCGCTGCCAATGGGTCGGTCTTTGTATAGTCGATAACTAGAGGTTGAGTTAGCCATCAAATGTAGCGTACTGACGCTATTGAATTGTAGCATATTATCGAACAGGGCATACTCTGATCAACAACTCCTTCGCCGAGTAACTCGGGAACCTGGGGAATCTTGGCTGTCGAAACCGTCGTGATCACCTTGCCAGCATGAAAAACATTCTTCGCCAATTGGCACGCATATGCTCCCGTGCCACTCACTTTTCACTGCGGTTAGCTTTGCCATCTAATATCTCTACTGGAAATGAGGTTACTTACAGCCGGCAGGTATAAAGACTGTCTTTCCTTCTAGTGAGCCCTTGTATTGCCGTAAAACCTGCAGCGCCGTGACACCCGCCAACGGCAATGAAGCAGCCTCGCCAAAGGTGACATTTTTAGGCTTCAGAGCAACGTATTCCTCCGCGCACTTGGAATACTGGCTCCAGGCTCCTGCGTCGTAACGTTAGTTCTGCCACAGTCCCGTATTGGATGGCACCCGAGCGTCACTTACCTCTTCCAACTTCTGGTAATCGTGTATAAACCTCGTCGCCGACTTTCAACGTTTGTACATTATTTCCAACTTGGCTCACTACACCGGCTGCGTCATATCCGACCTTGTATGGGAAACTTTGAGGTGTGAGCTTCAGACGATGCCTCTGGGATATTGCACTTACGAGTCCCTAACGGCCATCTTGAAGACTCCTGCCGCCTTCTTCACATCCACTGGATTAACACTTGCAGCATGAACCCTTATAACTACATCAGTATCCTCTGTAACCGTCGGCTGAGGCACTTTGGAGAGTTGATAACGGGATGGATCAGTATAAGCAGGCGCTGTGACGGCAAACATTTCTTCCGCCATGATTGAGATCGTCAAACACCACAAAACAATAACTTGATTCAAGATTCTAGCTTTAGCTAATTAAGAAAAACAAAGTCTTTATATCACAGTCCGTCTTAGCGTGTAATTAGAGCCCCCGTTCCTGGACAGCGATTAACAACGCCAAGCTTTGCCGCTGCGGAGATCTACGGGACTAGATGGCTAGGGCTAGGAAAAGTCCGCACTTTGGACTCCTGCGAGCAAATCTTGCCGGGCTGTTGCATTGGTCCTTGACCGGCGGACAAGCTACTATCTGTGATTACAAACGGTATTCGGATATCCGAATTGCTTCTTTTGGTGACACCACACCACAGGAAGGCATTATATTCGTGCCTCGGTAGAATTGAACCATCGCGGATTTTCCAACAGATTCCGAATCCCTTGACAACCTCTTAGCATATGCCGAGGTGATTTGGCTCTGCGATTTATAATTCAGCATGCAGTGACAGTTAAATAAACGTAAACTAAGTAAATTGAGGATTAGTCAATTGATCAATAACAGTAGGCGCAACATTGTATAGGTAGATATAATTCAGCTCAGTCTATGCCTCCATTTCTTCCTTCTGCATATTATTTCTCACATTTTAATACAAAGATAGCATGATTATTTCTCATATTCAATACTATATAAAGAAAGTACGCTTCCACTAGATAAAAGCTCTGGCAATTTATTCTTCTTGTAATCTGAAGTTTACGCACATTCCGTTATTCATGCTCAATGAGATCCTAACCATTGGTTATACCCTACTTCTATCAGGAACGATGGAACCTTACAAGATTGCAATTGGAGAAGCAAGCCCAATAGGGTATCGTATGATGCCCACTGCACACAGCTCGAATCTCAACGTGGCTGTCAGCGATGTACAGATCTTGGACCGCTTGACTAAGTCAGCAAGCTAGGATTAGACCTCATTGGTTTCCAGATTCTAGTGCGAGATTCGATGGTCATCAACCCGAGACAGGCACAGACCTTCCTTCAGCATTGCTAAAAAGGGGCCATAACCATGAAGGTATCTGTACAAGCCAAATAACAGGGGACTAGATATAACTACTATAAAGAGGAAGATCTCTGCCCGACTAGTCTAATAGGGAATCAAGCCAATTGATCATACATTTCAACAAGCATCATGGGTTTATCATTTAAGAGCAAGCCAATTAGTTGGCTGTATTCACATGCTGCTCCACGGTCAATGAGTTTGGGCCTTTATTGATTGCAATACTCCGAGGTTCACCGGACATCCATTTGATTGAGATGTCTAGTACGTCATCGTAGTAAATGCTTGCTCATAATTGAGTCTTATCTTGATAAAGCGAATATAGCTTTTCTTCTCATCATGTACAATAGAAGCCACAATCTAGTCGACAGCTTCTGGTTCAGCTTAGAACGCAATCAACAAAATTGTGTTCAACACTTGCACCCCACAGAGAACCCACTCAGCGACCAACCCTTTTGCAGCAAGTTTCATTGAGCCCATCAAGACGAGGTGGCATAAAACCCCAGCTGCAATCGCTCTTTTAGCACCACCTAGGCACTGAAGGGCAAAGAATGCCCCAGGAAAGAACAATAGCCATGTAGTGACAAGACCAGGATTATACGCTGGACCGACAACCAAAGCCGGAATAACGTGGGTCAAGCCGTTTATAAAAGCAAACCCGTAGAAACTTCTTGCTATTCGGATATTATTCCGTGCAGCGATCCCATTCACCCATACGGTTGTACCGTTGACGAATAAAACGACAAGCGGGCTGAGTGGACATGCTTCAACATTTCCAAATCCCTAATGCGGAAAAAAATATAGTGTGAGATTTGCAGTTATCTGCAAAGTAAACGTTGGAAGTCTTACCAGGTTATTGCAGAAGTACGCTTGAAACGCATATCGTCTACCCAAGAAATCATAGCCATGCTCTTCAAACTCATGCAAAAGGTACATAGGTAATGCGGCGCGCATCCACCAAGTTTGATCCTTGAGCAATGAGGCCCATCGGGAATGACGTTTCGTATCGACACTCAGAGGATAATTTGAAGGCCTGCAGAGCTCAATGATCAAAGGAGTTGCCGCGAGCAAGGCGACAAAAGGCCAATCTTGAAGGAGAGACATGAGGTCTATGGCGAAACGAGAGCTATTGGCTTATAAGATAGCTATCAATTAACAATCATATCATGTAGCAGCCATCTAAACTTTTCTCCAGGGAGTATTTGTCGATCGCGACCCAGGTTGTTATTTATAGGCGCCATGTTGAGAGCTAAAGTTTACTTCGTCTATAATGGGGGGGAAGATTCGAAGCGCCTACTCAGCGCTAACATACTCGTATTACATGAATGTTATTGTGTTACTTTTCATTAGTTCAGGCGGCATCTGTTGCAACTATTCGCGATTATTAATAATAAGTCATAGAATCTTAACATTGCTCATTGGTTACGGCGAGCTTACGGCTTCGCTAATGCTCACTAGTTGTCACAAAGATTGAGTGAGAACCTACGTTTTATCCACTTTCGGCCGAGTTTGAACGAGTGTCTGAAGTCTATCTTCCCACGCTCTTTAAAGAGCCATAACAATGACATCCGAGTTCATGCGGGGAGGATTTCCAAGAACAACTAGCATCATTCTATACGTGCTCTGGAATTGCTTATCTTGCAAAGCAAACGAGCTCCATCATGGGCGCTTCAAGTGGAATTTCATCATTTTGATGCCCAGAATTTGGCATTAGAATCATTGTGTAGTGTATTCCATGGAATCAACTTGATAGGATACTACAAATGCTGAGTCTCACATAAGCCGGTATCGGCAAAGACGCGCAACCAGCAAGACAAGAAATATAAACTTTGATGATACTATACTGCCCGTGTTTATTTTTCTTATGTGATTCAATTGTTAAAAAAAGTTGACAATAATGCACTAATCAACGATGATTCATCGAGAGTTTCCTTCAATCTATTCGGCCAAGAATTTGTTGAATGCTTGGCACGAGACGAATATCCTATTGCAGAACCGCAGATCATCAGGTTGAGCTAGCTTATAATCCAGAGATAAGACCTGAGATGATTATTGTTTTAGGTTAGCACAAAATCTAATTTCAACGTAGTTGTCCAAACGAAGTTACCTTGTTTTCATTCAGTATGGGCTAAATCGATGGTGAGTTGTTGTTGAAGAGATCTTCTATATTGCTTGACTACCCTATTGCCGCCCCAACAAGTTGTTCTGTCTTGGAAGCATCCAGAGAGATTCTAGGCTCGGTTTTCGGGCAAGCCAATGCCAATAGAACTCGAATCGATGAAAAGAATGGACTTCTTAGTTGGTTCTGGGCTAGTTCTACAGTTAGTAATGCTTCATCAACGCTCTACTCCTCTTATTACTGTATCGTTATATAAATTAATTCTAGTGATTTATGCTACAGTTGATACTGATCCAAGATATTTCTAAGCTTAGAAGAATGAGTTTAGAGAACCTGTTTAATGTCGGATTCTTAGCCAAGTTCCAACTCGTTCCAGGGTATGGAGGAGATCACCATGCTCCATACACCCCACCTCAGCCTCACTCGAACACATCCATCTAGCTCACAAGTGATACGATTTAAAACCTGCTTCAAGGATTTCCTGTCAGCTGTAGATCAGCGCTCAACTCAGCAAGCAATCTACTCGCTTAACAGAATAAATCGACAAGACGGGATGAAAAATCCCTCCTAGTAGGGCTTACTTGCACAATCCTAGACATTTGCATACGAGTACATATACGATATACGATATAAGCAATGCAAAACGCAAAATACGATACAAGATGCTCCGTAGCCGTGCCCTGGCCGGTGCAGCACGGGATTTGTATTAAAACATACAATCCTCCGGCATCCAGCGGGCTGTGTCCCTGTTCATGCGTGGGATTGACTCGGGTCCCCCCACGCCTCTGTACGAGTAAGCATCAGGACTCCACTGAGTAGCAGGATGCGCGAAATAAATCCTACTGGACATACAACAATTTGTATATGATATTTCTAATTTCACAATCCTGACGGGTCCAAAATGCTGATGACAAACAGGGAGAGTGTGTAAGTTCCCAAACAGGTCCGCAACTCGAACCGGCCTATGAGTTTTAAATACACGGAGTAATCGGGATCATTCCGAGACACAGCCACTGCTCCGTGCCGAGGATACCATCATTGCTAGTGTACTTTAAACTTCTCCTTCTATCGGGCCTACTTTGTGAAAAGTAGCATGTCAAAAGAAAAGCCCACCACGGCTCGCTCGCTAACTCAAAGTCGGAAAATTGTGCGGGATACTATTTGCAATAAGCTACTCTACTACGTACATACTCGCGGTAGCGATATTACATACACGGCTGCCAACGGGAGCGTGGGGACGCAGCACTGCATAGGGCTGATCGAGACGCCCGTCCCATCCCTCCCGTCACACATGGTCGCTTGGGAGAGCCGCAAAGAGTTGCTTAAATAGGAAGATATATGGCATCACGAGACTCACGATAACTATACATTGCGTACTTTATACCAGAAAAAGTAAAGCAAATACAAGGGCGGCCATCTCCGGTGTCGACTTGTATGCTTGGCGTCTCACGCTTTTTACGCGTGTGCGATATGGAGGAGTAAAACTAGGTGCACACTGCAGCGTCAGCCTGTACATTTGGACTGAAAGATGATGTAGAGGACTCGTATACTTGCCAGGCTCGGAGCCTAGTTGGAGAGGCCGATATCGGAGACTCTTGACGACGTTGACGGCCCCGGTTTTGCCTCCCTCAGGAAGGAAAAAAAATCCGATATGGACCCATTGAGTCGCTTAGAAGAGAACCAGGTTCACATTCGAAAGTTTTGAGATTCCCGTATAGGAAATTAAGGCGTTGCTATGAAAGCGAGTCAAAACAATGTACAGTAAACAGACCGGTCCAACTGGACACCGAGCAGGGGGATGCTCCATATAAGCAACAAGAATGTTGATCCGCCCACAAATAGCCGTTCCCGTCGGGAGCGTATTTCCC